GAGATACCGCGACGTTGCCAGTTCCGGACGTGTCCGATCCACCAGGCTCCGCGACGGATACAATAGGTTAGTCAACTGGAGATGCAGGATGCAAGTCCAATCCACCACAGGTTTTGGTGCGAACACCATTGTCATCAGCCGAATACAGCATACTTAGCACTTGTATCGGGCTCATACGACTGAACAATAACACTGACTGCTCACGAGGAAATACAAATTCCTCGCCAGGTGCCAGGCACATAAAGCATTCACTCAATCCGATGGTGCTACACAGTTGTGACACAAGATCGGTAAAGAGCTCGTAGTAAAATCCATCCGGTAACGAGCAAATTGGGACCTCACTCGCAACAACTCATCATCATCCCCAGATGAGTCTCGCCTACCAGGCTCCTCGACACAGGGCGTCCCCTGATCAGCCAACACTGTGCCCGACGGATCCAGATCCAAATCATCCTCTCCCACCACAGCCTTTCCACTTCAGTTCTAGGACCTCGTCCTATATGAAGCGCAGACCATACTTCTTCGGTCTCAGGAATCCCATCCTGGCCTGTATGGTCACCACCGTCCCCTTCTCCGTTGCTCACTACGCAAGCTCATCACCACCAACCGAAATTGGCTACAACTGACCAATCCGGGCGCCTCATCCACAGAGACCAACTGACTCCTCTGAGCAGTACACAACCCGAACCGGTGCACCTGGTCACAGCACCAAATGTCGCGTCCCTGGCTCAGAGTGACCGGACCCGGAAATCACTACGAGCGGCGACTGAATATAGACGTGTGGCCTCACGACAAGCCCAACACAACCCAGGGGCCAACCAATATAGCTGGCTTGGTCCAAGTTCAACCCCACACGATCAACAGACAAAGACTGTTAGTTTTACGTTGTGAGTAGTATCAAATCCGAGCTCAAAGTAAACGAAGACAGAGAGCTGAGACCGAGTTCTAGTCTAGTCTAGTCTAGTCTAGTCTAGTCTAGTCTAGTCTAGCAGTCGAGACTCGGTCTCAGCTCTCTGTCTTCGTTTACTTTGAGCTCGGATTTGATACTACTCACAACGTAAAACTAACAGTCTTTGTCTGTTGATCGTGTGGGGTTGAACTTGGACCAAGCCAGCTATATTGGTTGGCCCCTAGGTTGTGTTGGGCTTGTCGTGAGGCCACACGTCTATATTCAGTCGCCGCTCGTAGTGATTTCGGGGTCCGGTCACTCTGAGCCAGGGACGCGACAATACTAATGAACAATGAATGAACAACTGAATAACTAACACTAAAACCACCAGGTAGTTATACCATGAAAATGACAGCGTATATGAGAAAGCATACACATACAACATACAACTACAGCGCACACAGCAAATGGCACATAGCGCATGTAGCGTATACTACGTCGTAATCATCAGCGGTACTGCGGAGTCGGAATACAACTGCATTGACACGAACACAATGTCACAAGCGAGAAGGCCTTTCACTCTCGAGAACTTGTGGTTTCACAACACCGTCAGCGGCGTTGGACACGGTACGGTCACTACAGTATTGACCGTACCACTTTTTGCCCCAGATACCCATTGAATCAATGAAATACACTGATCTGGGCTCTAACTTTCCAAATTCTTCAGCTCAGCCAACATTCCTTTCGATTTTCGCCATGCCTTACTTTCATTCTTTGGGTACCCCATAAGAAGACTTTGAGTCTGTGGGGACTGCCCTATTAATAATAATAATAATTCCCCACGAGCAAAATTGTACTTCAGATGGCTGACCATACCACACTAAAATACCTTCCGACCACCCTGCTGATGATGTTATTGGACAGGTTACACTGCACACCTTTTGCCGTAACACACAATTTCACATCAAATTTGGGTTAAAATTCGTAATTTCGACGACGATACAGGTCACTGGAGTTGTTTTTCAACGCGAGAGCCAAATAATTAGTTAAACTCGGATACTGAGCCAGTAATAAAATTAATAATGTAAAAAAGAGAAGAAACACATGAGAACTGTTGGTTTGCGCACTGGAGATGTGTTAGAGCTAGGTCTCGGGTCGCTGAATGTCTCAGTAGCCTGTCAGTTTTGTGCCCTATTATCGCACTTTCTGGCCGCTTATCATCTTGTTAAAGTCGTGGAAAGTTGCTGCATAACTCGTTCTCATGTGTTTCTTCTCTTTTTTTACAGATTATTATTACTATTATTATTTTAACTGGTTTGAGGGAAAGAGACAAACGGGAAAAGTCTGAAGAAAAAATTGACTGTCACCATCAGGACTCGAACCAGGGACCCTCGCTTGTAGCCAGCGATGCTCTAACCACTGAGCTATGGTGTAGTCGTCATCCCAACAGAGGCCGTTCAACATTTTCTTCAGACTTCGTAACTCACACTTCCTGTGAATCCACACAGGCGGGTGGGACGCAGCCCGCACTGTAACCCACACACTTCACGTACAAACTAGCACGCGGGGAGCCCCAAGTCATAAAATATTAACTGGTTTGAGGGAAAGAGACAAACGGGAAAAGTCTGAAGAAAAAATTGACTGTCACCACCAGGACTCGAACCAGGGACCCTACTATTATTATTATTATTTTAAAACGAAGGTAAGTTATGGGTCGCAAATATCCACGCAAACACACATCCAGTCATAATAAGGCACTTGTCATAAGTATCCGAACGTTTTCGGTCCCTTCTCATCAAGGATTATACAGGGAATGGCTCAAGCTGGAAAGACTAAAACTTATATAGCGTAAAGATAATTAGATAACAACACTCGTGACAAGGTGGAAAATTATCAAGTTTAGCACGACACAAAACTCGAAGGAAAATAATAATAGTGACAACAACATAGTGAGGAAATTAAGTTACATTGTTACCACCTCGACGAGGAGTAACACCAAACAATTGTAGCGACAACACATTTTCTTTCTGTACGCAAAGTTCAGGATCTAACTTACGGATATACAAAGCTTCTAACACAGCCAAATGTAACGCACATCTACCACGTGACAATATTGAGAAAACATTATCACTGTACAACTCACGACAATTGGTACGGGCTGACAGATGTTGCTTGATTGACGAAGTGCGATTCTTAGCTTAACTTAACGGCACATGTTGATGAATGCGTGCGCCCAGGTGCTGAAGGGTTCTACCTACATACCGATCTTCACATTGTCGGCATTGAAAGAAACATTCGTCAACATGTGCCGTTAAGTTGTGTTCCGCTTGATGCGCGCGATTGTCGTCCTCGCCGTGGTCGTCCTCCAAAATGTGCTGTCCAGTCCATCGGAGGATCTTCCTCTTCCCGTGAAGATGTGACTGCATGCCCGTCCTCCTCTGCGTGTGTAGGACACGGGCCAGCTGAGAACAGCATAAAAGATGGTGAAAGACCCACACGTAAACCACCGAAACTGACAAAGGATCTGTCGGCGTCGGAAAGGGTGACGAGAAGCCAAGTGAAAATACGGACTGATGAGGACGAACGTACAACGACAACGGAAGTGACAACAACAGTCAATATTCGAAAACGTGGTAGACCGCGAAAACTAACCTCAATATCGGACACCGGACAAGTTGGAGTAAGAAGCTCAATAGAAATCCGCAATGGAGGAGACGTAACGGAAAGGACACCGGGTATCGCGCACCCAACGGTTAGTGTCAAGAAACGTGGAAGGCCGCGGAAACGCGAAGAGACAGATAGTGGTGCTGCCACGAAGAGGCGAGATGACGGGACATTTGAGGAGACAACACCCAATGGAGCTAAGAATCGCACTTCGTCAATCAAGCAACATCTGTCAGCCCGTACCAATTGTCGTGAGTTGTACAGTGATAATGTTTTCTCAATATTGTCACGTGGTAGATGTGCGTTACATTTGGCTGTGTTAGAAGCTTTGTATATCCGTAAGTTAGATCCTGAACTTTGCGTACAGAAAGAAAATGTGTTGTCGCTACAATTGTTTGGTGTTACTCCTCGTCGAGGTGGTAACAATGTAACTTAATTTCCTCACTATGTTGTTGTCACTATTATTATTTTCCTTCGAGTTTTGTGTCGTGCTAAACTTGATAATTTTCCACCTTGTCACGAGTGTTGTTATCTAATTATCTTTACGCTTTATAAGTTTTAGTCTTTCCAGCTTGAGCCATTTCCTGTATAATCCTTGATGAGAAGGGACCGAAAACGTTCGGATACTTATGACAAGTGCCTTATTATGACTGGATGTGTGTTTGCGTGGACATGTGCGACCCATAACTTACCTTCGTTTTAAAGTATTATCCGCCTCCGACCTCTTTTAAAAAATTATTATTATTATTATTATTATTCTCGTATCCGTCCCGAATGGGACTCCCGACGGCAGAATTAACTATGAGCATGTGTGTGTGTGTGAGAGTGGGAGAACGAAATAAAAATGAAAATAGGAGTCTTAGCCAAATAGTGCGAGCTAAACTTTCTCGTCACATGAAAATAAAGTTCACCTTCACCTCGCTGTTGAGTGGAATGACAAAGTGATGATGAAGTATGTGCGGAGGATGAACACAAGATGATGTTGTTGCGGAGCAAAACCGGATGCCTACTGCGAAAAAGAGCACCACGAGCAAGCCTGGGCCGAATATATCTTTCAGTCGATAAAAAAAGGAAACCTTTTTTTTGCAAGAGCAGCAGCTACTGCGCCCAGCTTAAAGTCTTGCGTCTAGATGGAAATCGGAGCGGCCTCCGCTGGAAGACAGACGGCATGGCGAGTTTTAACAAAAGGGGACGGCTGATGGCTCTTTCGACTTCGAAGCAGCTGGACCCTGAAGGAGTTGGAGACGACGACAACATTCCATTCAAAATTTCTACGCCTTGGCTTTGGCCATGCCAGTTCATATTGAACAGTCTCATCACCAGACCAAAATGAATGGCCACTGCCACTTTCAGTGTTAAGCCAGGTTAGCAGGGGTAGGGCATGCTGTGTTCTGCAACCGAGTGTTCTAGCATCAATAATTATAATCTATTCTTGTTTTATGTGCAGCAAATTGCTTTGCTCCGGGAATTCCTCATGCCAGGTTAAGCTCGACGCAGATACATGTCGGGACAGTACTAAACATAACGTGCGACTGTGGATATGAAATATCTGGTCCTCAAGAGATCACCTGCCAGGATTCACAAGTATGGACTCAAATGCCTACCTGCCAAGGTAATGTTAATGCTCATGAGCTGCTTCTATTAGCAGTGCTGCCAACCTTCCGTATTTTTTCTGTATTGGAACGGAAATCACTTCTTTACACAGGTTAAGTGGAAATAAGATAACACCTGTCATGATAGCCGATTTTTTTTTTAGAACACTTTTGGCAGCCAATATAAATAGTCTCATTTTTAATACGGGCAATCAGGATCACAACCTAGTCATGTAACAGAGAGGTTCCGGAATACGATTAGTCGTGCCAAAATCCGTGGAGGCACTACGGGTTTTTTTTTAAAACGTCGTTTTCCAGCAGTGAAATGTTCTGGAGTACGGAACTTATGTGTTTGCCGTAATTGCCTACGTTACGATCGCAAACACGTCGCATTCCCGCGCTATGCATTTTTATTTTGAAAATTTGTACCGAAATCAAAACTTGCCGCGGAAAATCAATGTTTCTCGTACCCAATTTGTACGTGAAAAATCTTTCTGCACCCGATGGGTCAGCAACGACGCAAAATCTCTATACGAAACATGGTTCGCATGAAAGCCAGTCCACACGGATTCTCTGCGCCGAATAATCGTATGGAGCACGCCTAGAAAACACCCATAGCACCCATACGGATTTTGGCACGGAAGATCGTACCCGGGACCTCTCTAATAGCCAAAGGTGTGGCAGTGTGGGTGGGGAGGTGGGAAGGGGGGAGTACGCGGTATATATGTTGCGATAGAATGTCTCCGGAATGAGGGATAGTAGAGCATAAGCATGGCAAAAGACTAAAAGTAGTTGAGGTGTATTACGGTTGTGTCAGCATGTACTCAAATCAGTCTGAATGGTAATTGGCATGACAGTAAATTCGACCAGACATGAAGTGCATAATAGCAACAATCCGGCAGGCATTTTAATTTACTCCTTTATTGACAAAGAAAATTGTTGTGGAAGATGCGGCATTCAATTGAATGCTATAACCCAAGAACGGTTATGATTTTTATATATACTAGTTGTATGCAGATCGGTTTAGATGGACAAAGCTTTCATATTAAAATGACCAGACCGAATTCGGATCAATGAAACTTGCCAAAGTGGAGTGTTGAAACGCTTTTGAGATACATTGAGATTGAATGCACTGGTAAGTGTGCAGTGGTTAGTGGCATTTTTCGCGAACTTTCTTACTTGTGACGTACGTAGTTTTATGCTCATTCAACCCGCATTCATCTCAGCTGTAGATTTGTAGAAAAAATCGAAAAGCGATGAAAATGGCTTGCTGAAATCCCGCTTGAAGGTTCGATCATATATGATATAAAGTTGTGCCATTGTCCATAAAAGGTTAAAGCTAAGGAGTCACGGGATAGTCTATACATGAGAAGGCACAAGGTTGCACAGAACCGCACTTGCCAATATTGGCCGGTATTTGCCGCCGGCCCGAGTGAGACTGTGCGTGCAGAGCAGCCCTCGTGTTTGCCGGCAATGTGTCCTTTTGTATGTTCAACGAGAGCATAGAGTAGCTGGGAAGGAATCAATGCTTGCTCGAAGTTGCCTGAACATGAACACGACCAGCTTACAATGGCAGAGTTTGATGAGGTGGAACAGACAGTTTTTTTCAGCTTCTCACCGGAAAAACTGTTGCATTGACCATTTTCGGTGCGCAATCTGCATGGCTTTTACTCTGGATATTTGCCAAAATGCTGCCTCTCCGTGCGCACTAAATAGTCGCATCATAGCTTGTCATAGGAGTGGGAATGTAGAGTCAGCAGAGGTTTGATGGTGAATAATTGACACACTGTGCGCCTGGATCCCTTTCTATTTTTGTGTGTTGAATGCAGAGATCATGTGTACTGGTTCAGTATCTGCGCCGATGAATGGTCTCGTGACCAGCGGAGGCAATACGTTGTCAGCAGTACGTCAGTTCACTTGCATGGAAGGTTATGAACTGAGCGGTGCAACTTACACGATATGTCAGACAGATGGGTCATGGTCAGCTGCTAGTCCAATGTGCACACGTGAGTACGCAACTCTCTGTAATTCTAACTAACAAATTTAGTCGATGTGGAGATACGAATTAAAATAAAGATATGAATAAAATCAACTGCACACTTAATGCTTCACATTCTATGCACTTAAAAACATATTCCTTCTTTTTATTTTGAAGCCTCCCCCACTTTTACTTATGTTCCTTCTTGTATTAGTCAGTGTGAGGTGTGAGGTAATTTCCAACTGATGATAATCACATCACGTTTTGGAAAATTAGGGACCTACCGTAAAAGTCCGTAAATAAGTACCTGCCCGAAAGAAATACCCCCTTCATTCTTTTGGCTCTGTCTGTTGAAGTCTAGTCAAGCCCGATAAACATACTGTCCGAAATAAGTACCGGTATGGTGTGCACATGCAGCACGTAGCATGTACATCGACATGATTCATGAAAATGACTTCTCCACTACACACAAGTCAGGTCCGAAAGTTAGTTCGTGCCCGAAAGTCAGTACCCGCCCGAAAGTTAGTACGGGTGTGGTCACTAAATTCGAAAGTAAATACGTACTTATTTACGGACTTTTACGGTACTTTGCCTTGTGTGTCGGAGTAATAAGTGCGCACCTGATTTTATTCATACATGTAGCTTTAATCAAATTAAATCTTAAACATTCCAGATATCCTGCTCCTACTGGTGGTTCACATGATGTGACTGCCTGGGTCTGGCACACCAAGCACATGGTCTCAAATTCATTCTGACAGACTGGGCAGCCCATCTAGGGCTGAAATACCGTACATCTGCGTCTCTTCACATGACGGTAGAAGGACCAATGGCAAGCACAATAGCCGTATGGCCTGAGTAACTGGATTTTTGAACTTTGGGGATAAAGCAGCCAAGAATGTCAGCATACAAAAAGGAGGAACAAAGGTTGAAGGACTGGAAAGTTCATCCCACTAGCATACAAAACCTGGTGTCATTTTCAGTTGAGATGAAAAGAAGAAGTCAAGTTTGCAACCGGTAAGAGGGACCATACATGTTTGCAAGGCATTGGCTGCGTAGGGCCCGGAGCATACCCAACTTGAGCTATAGCTTGTGTGTTTTCCAGGGTTCTATGAAGGCAAGGTCAACCTTACTACTTCCTCCGTTAACAAAAAAACTGCAAGATGGATATTATCAAAAGTACATTAGGCCAAGTAAAAATAATTGATTGTTGATCGTCAGCGCCCGCCCCGATTTTTCAGTCCGTCCCGGGATTTATTTTATTTTTTATTTTCGTGATCAACGGTAGAAAACTCGTGTGTTTAGCGAAACGCGGACCTTTTTTAGCAGTACACGCGTATGCGAGCTCTCATGTACAGCGTCAACGTGCTTTTACCGTAGCAACATCACGCATGCAGTGTGATTCCAGTGTACTTGTGTGAAATCTGGCAACTACAATACATGACACTGTAGTCTGTACAGTGTACAGTGTACCACCTGATATCTACGCCTGCATACATGGAAACTGTGCAGCCAACGCGTACCGCGTCCGAAGCTGTTGTTGATCGATGAACCCGTACTCATGCTCTTGAAAAGGTCCGCACTGTGAAGAAAAGTCGCACGCACGCCGCCGTTTGCCCTCTCTTTCGCCGACATTCTTCGAGTGTAATTTGTCTTTGTGAAGTCTGAAAGAGTTCCTTGACAACTTTTCAAAGTAGTAGTTCCTTTGTTGGTTTCAGACAGTGGAACTTCAGAAGGATGCCGTTTGTGATCACCCGGATTCGTCATGGTGCGAATCATCTGCACATGTTCAAAGTGTTTGGAGTGTGCCCAGGCAGACTGGTAGCAGTCACAACCAACAATGGTAGTACACCCATAACCCCATAGATGTAATACATGCTAAGATTTCAAGATGTCCGGTCGATGCAGGTATAAAAAAAGTTTAAAAACAAAAATATAACCCTCCCGTCCGCCCCGATTTTTCGGAAAATTCTGACGATCAACAATCTTTTTTTTTTACTCGGCCTAACCCCCAAGAGTGTGCAACTGCCTGCACAACCTCTATGCTGTGCTGCGACGGCAGAACTTCACATCACGTGACATGGTTCAAAATGTTATGCTGGCAAACAGTGCAAAGTGACCACAAGAGAGTTGTACCCAAAGCTGGGTTGCGTACAACCCTGTATCTATCATGCACAGAGTGCAAATAATGTGTACGGGTTCATCACGTGATGTGAAATTCTGCCGTCGCAGACCCCATAGCCAGAGTTGCACACTCTTGGGGATTTTGTACTCTTGATATTATTGAGGGACTGGTTTGCGCACTAACTGCCCTGAAATGAGCCGGTATCTCTTTCTCGGCATTTCCTGGCATGGCATGGAAGAGATACGATGCGAAGAAAGCGACCTTTCAAAACAAACCGAGTTGTATCGATGGTTGCGCTGTGGCAACATAGGTGATGACAGCCATGGCGACCGTAAATGAAATACCACTTCTCCGAGGTCATAATGCACTGATTGGCCTCTCTCGTGAGTTTGAGAGTGATAGAGAGCAATGGAATGGAGCAGCGATCCCACACAATGAGTGAATGAACAAGCAGCTGTTCCGATTGGACGGAGCATTGGAAATTAATGATTGTTTAAACTTCGGAAAGCCCAGATTTGAGTGCTGATGACCATGCATTCTATAGAATTCTGCAGTCCGACGTTAGTCTTGTGGCTAAGGAAAGTCGATGGGACTTGCTAGCTGCTGGCGTTCAGTGCTGGCAGGAGCATGCAACAGATGAATGGAATCAGTTGGGCTGTGCCTTTACTCCTCATTTCGCGGAGATCTGGAGAGTGGAGGTGAACCCAGGGAGTCATGAAATATTTTTACGACTCCTGGTGGAAATTAGTAATCGCCACTGCGACGGATCATGCAGCTTGAAAGCCAACTTGAACGACGGCGGCAGCACCAAAGTGGAGTGTGATCAAAGAAGCCAAGGCAAGGCTGAAAGGAGCTGAACAACAACGCTAGAGAGATGACGACTTACATGCAGCATATGACGACAGCGACGGAGGGTCAACATGAGTCGAGCAAAAGCGATGCAAACTGAACTCTCTCCTCATTTCGCCAACAGTTTCTTTGGTAAAGATGCTGTACATAGGCTTAGCTATTTTCACCCAGTGATTTACAGTCGATACAAATTGTTCTTGACCTGTTCTAAGCGTTTCCTTCGAAATCAATAACGACGTTTTTGCTAACCGAGGAAGTATTATTATGTAACAGCTTGCCGGCGTCGGTCACTTCGTCGTTGTGAATGGTTGAAAGAAATTGTACCATTTTTTGATATCCTCTAGTTGAAGTACGATAAGGCCATCATAGCTTCTGTGTATGAACTCGCCTTTCTTGAGTCCTTTGTAGTCCACTAAGGGGCCATCCGTAAATACCGATATTTATTTAGAAACGAAAATAGTCGTTTCTCTTCAACCCCCTCTCCCCTCCCTCAGAAACGAACACATACAAACGATGCATAGGATCGACATTTTTCCTTTTCTTTTCTGGACGTGCCCACACATACAAACTGTGCATCGATATTTTTCGAGAAACGAACAGGCGCTCAACCCCCTCCCCCTAAACGACTAGTTTTCGTTTCTAAATAAATATCTACATTACGGATGGCCCCTAAGCGTTTAGGTAGCCCACACCGATTCTTCCTGACTGTGGCGCACATCGCCGTCCCGTTCTCAGCCACATACCGTGTTAACCCTTTACCGGTCTACCATAAGCGTACCGATACTATAGTATCGGTACGTTTGGCCCTCATTTTTGGGGGGTCTTGTTGCTAGGAGACACCTAAAATGGCGCTCTACGCGTAGCTGAGGTCCAAGGCTTTCTGACGATGTGCAAAACAACCATGCTTACCATACAAATTTTTGCCGTATCGATCGACTGAAGTTTGTTGAAATTGGAAAAGACGACTATCCGCCATGCGCGCATTTCAAGAATGCGAGTGCATCTCTTGGGGCCGTGTTTGACAAGCGCTCTGAGAGCAGTAACATCACCAGTCCAGGCTGGATGTCCCGGGAGGTTTTGCAGTGTAGTGTGTTGAGAAAAAGAGTTCCGTTGAGTCCTGCTAGTTCAAAAATATATCGTCCACGAATGAAGAAACGAAATTCTCCAAACAGAGAGGAAGCTTTCTTGCTGCCGACACCGCTACAGCGACTGTCACAAGGACTCGTCAGGTGCGATCAGCTGATTCGCCTGGCCGTGAGAATCACGGCATGCGTAAGCTCGCGCCTGAGTACTCATCTGAGCGAGAGTGAATCTGACGCGAGCAGCGCTGAGATGAACAAACCGAAACTGCGATATCGTGCAATGGGAATTGCTGCTGCTGGCGTATCGCCGATGGCGAGGTGTTGGTGTTCAATGGCGGTATTGTAGAGAGCCTACATTTCTTGTAAAGACGTAGCCCTTACCTGATTGTTTATCGTACGACTTCAGCTCCATCACGAACTTGGTATGCCCTTCGTGCTGTGATATTCGTGTATTTCATTCGCAATTGTATTTTCTCTCAACTTGAAGGGCTACCATGGGCCCTATCCTTGCCTGGACCTAGTCATATTTGAATTTTCTGGACGCGTTCAGGCACACAGATTTTGAAAATATATGGTTTACCCATACCTACATCACATGGTTCTTGAGTTATTGCTGGTTGTGTGTACATGTATTTGCGTGACCACCCCTCACATACATTGAGTTAGACCGGCAAAGGGTTAACTTGACACTGGTGTACCAATTGACGACAAAATCGATATTCCTAGGTGACAAATTGGTCCGTCAGCTGAGCCACCACTGCTCCAGATGTACCAATCTGACGTATCACGTCGGCATCGACGGTTTCAACATCCTTGCCAATGTAGACAATGAAATTGGGCATACGCCCTCTAAGGTTCGAAGAGAGAACACCTATATTCCAGAGCTCTCTTTGACGGAATGTACTGACGAAACAGGAGGCGACCGCATCAAGCGACCAGCTCTTTACCAATGTAGGTGTTTGTTCCTGATGTGTATGCTCCCACGAACTGATCGGTCGTGAATTTCAGTATAGGTTTCACCTTCCGCAATTAATCGAACCCGCGCTATCGCCCTACATGCATTCCCCCAATACACTTCTCATCCATGCACATTCTTCGGACTCGAGCGGAGGTTGCAGTGTTTTCTTGCGCTGACGGAAGTGTTCGTCGGCGACAGCTCTGTCAAAAAGACTCAAACGAACCGATCGCAACTAATACTTCTGCGATGGTTTGTGCTGCCATGTCGTCGGATGCAATGGTCAATGGTTATGTTCGGACGTTGAATCGGTGGTTCCATGCTGTGTGACACAGGCAGAACACCGAAAAACCAAGTGAGAAGATATGCGCCAATTTTAGCTTGGCGGACCAAGTACATGAAAAGTACCGAAGGATGTACAGATTTTTGTCTACTGTTTAATATTCGTCTTCTGTGCAGAAATCACCTGTACAGCTTCAGTGTCAACACCAACAAATGGTCATGTGACCAGCGGTGGCAATACATTGTCATCAGTACGTCAGTTCTCTTGCATTGAAGGTTTTAGAATGAGTGGTGAAGGTTACACTATATGTCAAGCAGATAGTTCCTGGTCAACTGCTAATCCTGTGTGCACAAGTGAGTGACAGAGTATATTGTTTCTTGTCCTATCCAGATATTTTCTTCCTTACAAAAGCATATTATGTCAACAAACAAGCTCTTCCACCAAGTATATAGCCCTAAGTTGGCCTTCTCTTATACTCATGAATAAGCATTCGGAATCCTTAGAGAAAGTTACCTGGCAGCAAACTCAGATCACCGGCAATGGCTTAATTTTAAGTTCAGAGTATTAGACTTTCCAATTCTACTACTTTGCTTATCCTTGCCATACAAGTACAGATGTTTATGTTCATCCAGCACTCTATTTGTGATTTTCATAAAAGTGGGGTGGGGAGGGAGGTGGGGGAATACAACGAAGTCACCACTACCGAAGGTATAAAAATGACTGCACTGGCAGAATTTTTTATATAGCGGCTTTCAATCAATTATCCCGGAGATGATCAGGGATTTTGTTTCACTACTCGTATCCGTCTTCTGTGCAGAAATCACCTGTACAGGTTCAGTGTCAGCACCTACAAATGGTCTTGTGACCAGTGGTGGCAATACGTTGTCATCAGTACGTCAGTTCTCTTGCATTGAAGGTTATCAGCTGAGTGGTATGAGTTACACAACATGTCTATCAAACGGGTCTTGGTCATCTGCCATGCCAGTCTGCACACGTGAGTACCTATCTGTCTGAAATTCCATTTTCTAAGACTAGCAAAAACAAAGTTTGAATCCAGTAGATGAACTTGAGCTAGTCGCTGTTGGAAGAGTGTGCGGGTAATAAAGCACCTTTCCGTTTTCGTGGGACGTCACCACCCCCGATCAGGCATCAGATGCGTCTCCTAAACCGTGGGGAGGAAAGGTCAGATCCACCAATCAGAGGCCAAAGGCCGAAATCCCATTTGTCACATCCATGTTCTCCTCGTGCCAGGTCACGGGTTCGCAATTCACTATGGGTATCCGAATGGTTGGAAAAAATCATTCCACTTCAAAGCAGAACTTGAACCTGGTGCCTCTCACGCCATGAACTGTGGTGATTTATAAGCTTCTCTTCAAATTTCAGGGAAATATCAGTCGATAACCAATCAATAGTCAGTCAATAGCATTCGTTAGGCAAAATAGCACGTCATCGTACATTTGAGACCAGCGGGAAGAAGATGACGACGTCCAGTAAATTAGTATCTGTGCACACGAATGTACTGTGTGTGTGACTTTGTGTGTGTCAGCTATGACATCAAACCCTGTGGTTCCATGCCTACCGTGTAGGTCAGAACCATCCTGCAAAGTTTGAATGACGTAGGTAGAATGATCGCGCCGCGAACCATACCTTTTGAAATTATGTTCGTAGTATACCTTCCACCATTGAAATTTCGAATTTCTTGCTGAGAGGGGTAGCTTGCAACCTCGATATGGCTTGTTCCAGGCATGCTGTGAAGCAAAACCCTGTTGAAGTAGTGGCGGGATCTGCCCTGCAACTGCTACAACAAAACATGATTCGATCTGAGAAAGCGTCAGACCGCGAATCTCAGTTGAGTATTGAGTATTTCAAGCCGTTTCATGACGAAGATGGAGTTCTCTTTGGAGATGGACGTCGCGGCAAAGGACATGGTTTCCGACTTCTGGCGTCTGGTGAAGCCAGGGATCATTTTTCCAGTCAGGTCGGCAGCCTAACCGTCGGTGAGGTTGTGATTGGATCGCATTCTGCTCAATGTGGTGGATCACAAACAATTTTGATATCGTACAAATTGAACTCTCCATTGTGCATATGGTATTTTTGATTTAGAAAATCGCAAAGTGTCTCTGACTCTCTGTGTGGCCGTCTTTTGCCACGAGAAACTCCAATCAGGCTCCTATGTCCTGTGCATTCTTGATTGAATATCCACCTCGTTTGAACAACGACCACAACAATCGGGGACGGCTTTGCAATGAAAAATACAGCTATACTGGAGCTGAAAAAAAGAAGAAAAAGCGTGCTCAGGATGAGACTCGAGTACACGCATACTCTCCCAGCAGGTTTTGTGGATGTCGCTCATAGATGCTTAATTTCGCATGACGTGGTTCTAGTCGATAAGGAACCTGTTGCACTCGTTTAACCCCTAATCTTATAATTATGATACTTTCAATTTTAATGAATGGTTGGCAGGGATTGGCAATGGAGTAATGATATAATTAATTTGAAAATGGATGATAGAAGGGGTGTGGAGAGAATATCGTACTGGTGCCACCAGTTCTCTATTAACCTTTTGAGTACGAGTGACGTTCTGACACTTCATGACCACTGCCACTGTGACACGCGTGACGTTCTAGAACGTCACGAGTCAGTACGGAACTACATCAATTCCGCACTTCTTCCGTGGCATGGCATCGAGCACATTTTTCGCGCTTATAGCTATTCAGTCAAAAACTCATCACTGTTTTACCGGAGCCGGGATGAAAATGAATTCGTGGAGCAAGCGGCAGCGCTTGGAGAAACATCGAGGGGTCAGCAAGCTAATGCATGCAAGAGCGACACAATATAATAATATATAATATGCCAAATAACGTGCAACTAGACTTGAGAGGGCATCTCATACAAGTTGGATACACATCATTCTACAATGTGTACACGGTAGGCCCTGAGCTCTGCAGGAATACTAGTCACAGGTACCTGTACAACTCTGAACGTTGTATGCAACTACTCTGCAATGCCCTCCAAAGTCTAGTTGCACGTTATTTGTAATAATTATCATCTATTTATCGCTCTTGCATTCCTGCAAGGAAAGCTGAGATACCGAGTAGTAAGACCGTACCTGCAAGGGTCGTGTAGACTCTGCGTGTACACTGTAGTGCTAGTGATGCACGTGCAAGTACCGTACCAGTGGCCGTGATGCTGAAAAGGAGTGCACGCTGGACGTGATAGTACACTTGCCTGCATGAGCTGTGACCACACAACTAAAATGAATGGGTATCCCACGGCTACAAAAGAGTTCATTTCAAGATCGAGGTGATTCCTCCGACGGTAATCAACCAACCTCGCAACGATTGCGTTTTCTTACTGCGTTGGTGGTGAAGTAGAAATCATCCAGAGCTAGCAGACGACAAGCATAGCAGCTCTTGTCCTGTTGGGATTGTCAAAGCGTTTGAGATAAGGCGCGACCAACTTACAACCTTCCTGGAAAATTTGCGGAACGATATTTTTTTCGTCCGTAGACATCAGCTCTGTGTTAATTTTAAACTCTCAGTCCAGCTGTCCTGGAACGTTACTCTAGACTTCAGACTATCATACTGTGTAAAAATTTGTGTATGATTTAGCTTATGGAGTGGTCAGTAACAAGTGACAAGTCACTAGTCAAGCTGGAAAAAAATCGATGACGCAGAGGAAATAAAATTTAGATTTGGTTCGGACATGCATATCAGGTTTGAATAACTGTGCTTCTGCTTATTTCTGAACAGTGATCAAATGTCCGGCACTTCGTCCACTACCATCTGGCAAGACTGTAGAAAGCTTTCCAGGCATCGTCTTCTATGCATGCAATGCAGGATTTCAACTTGTAGGCACATCAGCTTCAAGGTGTATGGCTAATGGAACCTGGTCGACTAGTATGCCTCGATGCAACCGTAAGATATCCAGCGTGCTCTTACACAGTAATATCTTATTTCACCAAAGCACATTTAGAACCTTCCACACCTTGCCCAGTACACTCGGTATTTCATATCAACTGGGATGCGCAAGGGGGACGTAGTTCAAAGCAAACGAACAATTGATTGGGCAAGGTAGGCGGCTTCTGTTTGTAATATGCCTAAACATTATTACGAGGCAGCCTCATACACACCTAGAAGCCATGACCTAACGAACCCTTTCTTTCTAAGTGTTGTTTAATATACCCCATCTATTTGTGCAATTGCTCTAAAAATAACTTCCGTAGAGACGAGTGGCATATGAGGGACGGAAAACAACAATTTTCAAGCTATTCATTACCACTATCACCAATGTGGACTCCTAAATTCATGAACCAGTTTTCGGACATTCTTTCCAAAGGAATTACAAGAAACCAGAACCAAGGAAACATAGGGATAAGTAGCATAACAAGGGTTATAACCATTACAAGTAGGTGATAAATGTCGAGAATAATTTACCGGTATGCACCTGGGGGATAAGAAAAAAAGGGGATAGGGAGAACGAGACGGTGAGAAGTGAGACAAGAGGAGCTACATGCAGACTGTGTGAAAACAAACACCAAATGGACGCTGCACTAACTAGTGGGGAGAGGTTCTCAGTAAACAACAGTTGAAGTTGAGGGATCGATTTCGTTTTTCTTTTAGTTAGGCCACACGTCTTTATTTCTATGTTTCTCGTCACCTGAAAATCTGAAAACGTATGCGAGAGGTGGAAAAATAATAAAAAAATGACCTAAAAAGGAAAAAAAGTTTATTTGATTTTTTAGGAAATATAAAATTGCAATAATTATATTAGATCTTTGTTCACACTAAAATCCACCAATACACCGTGCAAAATAGCATCCATAGTTAGCAACTAGTATGTGGTAGGAGCTTCTGTCACAATCTGTGCATGTGCAGCTAGATTGTGCACAAAAAAAGGCGACCTCGCATCATGTTTCGCGCAGGCCAGGCCACATTATGTACATGTGCATGAGTGTGCTGGTCCCCACATGCACAGTCAGTGCAGCACATTTTTTTTCTTTTTTTCTTCCAGACTCCTGAATCGTATGCGCGCGGGCGACGAGAAACATAGAAATAAAACGTGTGGCCTTACATAAAGGTGGCTGGGAAGTGTAAATATAAATTTTTCTAACACGTTCAGATTGCCGAGACCGCGACCACGGGCACGTGACAAAACAATCAGATGTGTCCTGTCTAGACTATGCTGATATTCTTGCAGCCGGCAGCATATCATTTGTTGTTGACACTTACATTGACTCTGGTGGTGACGCTGCCAGTGACCCTGCAGTTGGCGGTGTCACTGAACCTACCGCTAGAGACACACCGCTTGTAATTGATTTGAAGAGAACGCTTGAAAGCGGTTCATGAATTTTGGAATCTTTATTGATGATGATGTTGATGACTAGCTTGAGATTTGTAGTTTCTTGCTCAACATATACTGGCGCACACAGAGATATAGACAGAAATGGCGCCGACACACAAATCGAACAGTAGTTGGCTGCAGCCAGATGTGACTGCCAGATACATACGTCTATCATCATTGCCATTGTTAGACCTATCCAGGGTGCTGGTGTCAGTCGCCACTCCTTGACCAATAACACATGTGGGAATACAGCCTGCTCGCTAGTCCGTCAGGCGAAATAGCACGTCGTAGTACATTTGAGACCAGCGGGAAGAAGATGACGACGTCCACTAATTTAGTATCTATGCACACGAATGTGCTGTGTGTGTGACTCTGTGTGTGAGCTATGACATAAAAGCCTGTGGTTCCATGCCTAGCATGTAGGTCAGAACCATCCTGCAAAGTCTGAATGATGTAGGTTGAACGATCGCGTCGCGAACTATACTTTTTGAAATTCTCTTCATAGTATATATTCCAGTATTCAAATTTCGATTTTTTTTGCTGAGAGGGGTGGCTTGCAACCTCAATATGGCTTGTTCCAGGCATGTTATGGAGCCTAACCCTGTTGAAGTAGTGGCGGGGATCTGCCCTGCAACTGCTACAACAAAAAGTCATTCGATCTGAGAAACCGTGAGACCGCGAATCTCGCTTGAATATTGAGCATTTCAAGCCTTTTTAGACAAAGATGTTCTTTTTGGAGATGGACGTCGCGGCAAAGGACATGGTTTCCGACTTCTGGCGTCTGGTGAAGCCAGGGATTATTTGTCCAGTCATGTCGACAGCCTAACCGTCGGTAAGCTTGTGTTTGGATCCCGTTCTGCTCGATGTGGTAGATCACGAACAATTTTGATATCGCACAAATTGAAGTCTGCATCGTGGGTACGGTATTTTATATTCAGAAAATCGCAAAGTGGCTCTGTATGGCCGTCCTATGCCACGAGAAACTCCTATCAGGCTCTTATGTCCTCTGCCTTCTTGATTAAATGTCCACTTCGTTTGAACAACCAACACAACAATCGAGGTCGGCTTTGCAATGAAAAATACAGCTATACTGGGGCTGAAAAAAAGAATCAAAAACGTGCTCAGGATGAGACTCGAGTACACGCGTACTCTCCCAGCAGGTTCTGTGGATGTCGCTCATAGATGCGTAATTTCGCACAGGAGGTTTTGTAAAGGCGGAGTTAACTAAAAATGGATCAATGTCAATCGTTCCTGGATAGGAAAACTATCACTCTCAGAGAGGCGAAAGCTGATTCATGTTTTGTTCTCTTCTCACCAGCAATTCAATGCGCACCACTTGCTCCACCCACAGATGGTACACTTGTAAGAAGTTCACGGCAGGTGTTTGGCATCACTGAGTTTGCATGCAACAAAGGATTTGCACTAAAGGGGCAAGGAGCTGCAGTATGTAAGGAGGATGGAACCTGGTCATCTAACACACCCATGTGTGAAGGTAAGATGCTTGGTTTATTGGTAAATGTAGTGCAATAGCCTAGAGAGCCCATTGCACTGCATAATGGAACCAGAGAGCATACCTTGCTGGCGGCTTGTGTATCCTTCCTTATTATCTGTTTCTTTCTTTCTTCCTTTCCTTTTCCTTCTGGTGGTTGGCCATCACCCCTCTCTTGCACTTTGTCTGCAAGAAAAAAAGTACAAACTAAATCATAATCGCGGGACCTCTAGAGCTATAACAAGGATCCTGCATCACTGTCATCTGTTCAATGCCTTTATTCTCCTAGCTGTGCAAATGAAGTTACATAAGGTCTGGTGTTAGCCATGGTCCATACAGCATTATTCCCGTAGCTATGCAAAAGACGTTACTTCAGTAACGTCTGGCGCCAGCCAGGATCCACACAGCTTTAATTCCGTGTTTGTTTGTTGGTGTCATCGGCATGCCCGGCGCATCCCGTACCTGTCCCAGACTGTATCGGACCATCAAAGACACCTGGCCACAATATTCAAATAGGGCTTTCAAATGCAAGATCATAATAACGTGAAGCAACTTGGAAGAATGAGTATGTATGCAAAGTGTATCGGGGGAATACATGCAGGTGATAGTGCAGGTTCGAATCCCAGGTTGTCTTAAAAAAAAGGAGAAACGAAAAATTTATAACATCTCTATGCTTTTTTTTGTCTTGGTCATCAAGGTGGTAGACAGTGTCGTGTTACCCTTGAATGCAAAGAGAAAGTTTATGTCTTTCGCTCAGGGCCCTACGCTATGCTTTTTGCCTAGCTCATCATGCATGTTCTTCGAACACAACGAAACGTTTTGCAATACAATGATGTAGCCGATCAGTTCGTTGTGGTATGGTTGGGCATTGTACCCGTCATGGTCGACGTAAAACACTATTTACATACACAAGCTCGGGGAGGAAAAGTCTCTCTGTCCCATAAGCTGCCACATACATGTACAGTTGTCCCTCTCTAATCCGGCATTTTCTGCTGGATAAACAAGGGCGCTGGATTATCAAATCCTGTCCTCCAACCGGGCCCAGCTACTAACATGTCATGTTTGTGTCGTACTTCAAGACGCAGTGATTTTCCGTGTCAATCCAAGTACTTTGTGGAATGCATGTCTATACAGTGCATAGGATATTCCCAAGGGTATGTTACATGTGTAGAATGCTCCCTGATGTTCATGCACTCACCAAACTGACATAGCTGTGCTCCGGTACGGCATGCGATGTGCAACTGCTGGATTCGAAAACCGAATTGTGTACAGTTTGAGGGATTTGTTGCAGAAAATCGCTGCTGGGGGCGGAAATCAAGTGCCGGATTAAAGCGTACACGATGAACTGAAAAAAACCCGTTTTGCCAGAAAGTGTGCTGGTTTGCAACGGTGCTGGATAAACGCCCGATTAAAGAGGGACAACTGTACATGTACAAACATACATGCATGATGAGCTAGGCAAAAAAGCATAGCATATGGCCCTGAGCTTCCAAGCTCTCTCAATTCGATATGTGTTAGTGCCTGACAACGGCATGCCTAGCCCTATCTCGTGTACGTCTCGTACCGTACCACCAAAGATAGTTGGCTTTCAATTGCAAGATCATAACGAGAAGCAACATGGAAGAATGTGTACGTATGTGAAGTCTATTGGGGGAAATGCATGCAGGGCGATGGTCCGGGTTCGAATCCCATGTTAGCCCAAGCCAAAGAACATACTTCACGACCACCCTTTTTATTCAGAAACAAATAGGGAGGGCGGGAGGCTTTTTATGTTCATGATTAGAAAAGACAGCTGGCCACCATATTCAAAGAGGGGTTTCAACTACAAGATCATAGCGTGAAGCCACTAAGAAAATGTGTATGTATGCGAAGTGTATCGGGAGAATGCAAAAGGGGCGATAGTGCGGGTTCGGATCCCATGTTAGGCCAAGCCAAAGAATATACTTCATGATCGTGCTTTTTTTTAAAGAAAAACGGGGAGGAAGGCCATACTTTCATTGTAAAGGACAGCTGGCCATCTTATTGAAATAGGGCTTTCGACTTCAAGATAATAACGTGAAGCAACTTGGAAAACTGTTTATGTATGCTAAGTGCAGGGCGATAGTGCGGTTCGAATCCCATGTCAGGCCAAGCCAGGGAATACAATGCCATGTAGTGCATGGTCGTCTTGTTTTCGGAAAGGAATGGGGAGGGTGGGCGTATTTTCATTTTTTATCATAATTCATTGCACTGCAGGGAATAATTTACTTTCAATCTTTTGCATAGCAATGTCGCTACACAAAATCAAACTTGCATAGCAATTCGAAAATGTTGCATAGCAATTTTCTTGAACACTTGACAACATTGTCATTCTGGAGAGCTGATCAGAGTGTAAGCTCAGACCACAAGTACACTGTAACACCTTAGTTGCAAACTTAGCCTAGTGCCCGAATGCTTAGCTCAGCACTTTCGAAATTTCGTGCATTTACTTCATCCCTAAAGCACACCCGGCATGTACACTGTGCTTCATAGGGTACAGTGAAAAATCAATATCCATCACAATTTTCTGCAGCACATATTGGAAGTTGCTTCGCACCTCAGAAGATTAATTTTGTGGAGCAAACTGCGATGCAATACCGGTTAAATTATTCCCTGTACTGCAAAAACGTTTCCAGCAGTATGAATAGCATACATGATGACCAAAGCAAAAAAAGTATAGCGAGGGCCCTGAGGTCCAAGCTCTCTAATTTTTTTCCAATGTGCAGAGATCACTTGCTCTGCTGTAATCACAGCCCCGACAAATGGCCGTGTTACCGGTAGCGGCACTAAATTGTCATCTGTACACCAGTTCTCTTGCATGGAAGGTTATCAACTGAGTGGTACGAGTTACACAACATGTCTATCAAATGGGTCTTGGTCGTTTGCCAAGCCAGCCTGCACACGTGAGTACCTTCTTGCCTGAAATTCCATCTTTTCCAGCGAGCACGACTCAACGTTTGAATCCAGTACTTGGTCCAAATCAACAATTTTGTTGCTCATCTTTCAGCTTTGTTTTTTGTGTCACCAATGCTCACTTGGCAGCCCATTTCATCCCAATTTTGCTTAATTTACTAGTACCTGAAAGATCAAGCTAGATTTCGAGTGGATTTCGAGAGCGACGGGTGGGCGATTTTGATTGATACAGCACCGCATCAAAATCGATTTTCTTGTTACGCTGTGCAGCCAAGTCCTATAGAGAAGGTGACCGTCACGATTGACTTCCCTTTAGAAAATAGCTAGGCAGTGGAGAGGAAGAGGGATAAGCTTGTGAAAGCGAGAGAGTTGATCCCGAGCAAAAAATATTTGTCACCAGCGCCGAGATCAGCGACGAGGAGGACCAAAAAAGGATTAACCCTTCCTTGGGCAATAATTCCTAATTGGTTAGTTGTCATTCTTTACCTTACCTTCCATTGTACTAAGTTTTATCACCACGTGTTATCAAGTGCACGCGTTGATGTCCAACGTCTAAGTTCAAATTGTCAAAAGATAAGCAACAATATTGATGACCCGGATCAAGTAGATGAACCTGAGCAAATCGCTGGTGGAAGAATCTGTTTCCTTGTAGCTCTTTGAAGTCATACACGAGGGAATTGTTCACCCTTTCCTCTGACCAGTGAAAAAAATGGACACTTCGCATATCGGGCAGGTCAAGAATCACTTTTCAGCTTCCGTGGGACGGTACGACCCCATGATCAGGCGTCAGATTTTGCTCCCAAACAGCGGGGGAGAATTGATCAGATCCATCAACCCTAGGACAATCCACCAAGCAGAGAAATCCCATTTGCCAATTCCTTTTTTAATCGTGACAGACCAATTCACTGTGGGACGCAGCATGGCTGGAATGGTTCCTTCCATTTCCAAGCAGGACTTTTGAACCTGGTAACTCTTGTTTCTCAATCATGGTCTTAGACTCATCCACTGTGCCGGCCTGGAGCCAGTGAAGAGAAGAAGAAAAAAGGTGGCATTTGATGACATCAACATCAAGCATGTTTACATAAGTGGAGAATGCTCTTGAATATTTCAATGGCTGGATTTGAAGTTGCAGCAAAGTTTGAAGTAAATGAGGCATTTCGCGCTGCTCCCTACATGAGGGTTCACACACATTTTTCTGACTTGAACAAACGCATCCATGCTCAATTCACAGTATTTCAGGGGACTCACCCTTTGTCAGGTCTGTGTGAGTCTTCCCTAAGAGAGTACTGAATTATCAGTCCTGGGTATCCCTTGTTTAGGGAACACTTGACATTGTCTGGTCGCCAAGGTGATCATGGTGATCCGTAGCTGCGCGTAGGCCCGCGTAGCCGCCTTGCCGGCCTCGGCCCTTTTACCTCGGCAGACCGCACCGGAAAAAAGATGACGACGCTGTTTTGGTGAATATTTTCTTCGCGCTCGATGGTCTGTGCGCCAAATTCAAAAAAAAGTCGAAAGCCTTTTCTTCTTTCTCGAGTGATCCTTGGTGATTTTTCAAGCTCCCTCGCAGTGTTCAACACCCAATGGCTCAGGAGAAGAAAAGTCGAAAAAGTGTAGTCACTGGCCTCGTTTCAAGTGACAGCAGGAGAAGAAATTTCCTTTCAAAACGGAAGAATGGACTCCTAAAAAAGGTAAGTTGAATGCACATCGCAATTCTGAACTTGCGCAATTTGTCATGAAGACTTCGCTTCATTTGTGTTCTGCAGGCCGCAGAGTTGCATGTTGGAAGTGGAGCCAAGGTTTTGGTCGTGGTGGTCGCTCCTTCTGGAGTTCGACACACGTACAGCTCGCATCCTGTGGACGAGATTTTGCCCTCAACCAGCTCAAGTGTCACAACAGCAAGAGCTGACCCAGTGGCATGCTCTGCAAGAAGCAGTTCATATCCCACCGCGATGAACACCCCAGATTCCACCACGAGCCCCACTGAAGAATGAAAATAAAATTTGGACTGCTGGTCCTTCAAACATCACCTGTTGGATACTTGTTGTGTGCAAACACCATAGTCTGGTATCAATTCACCTCAGAATGTCAACATTGAAATAATAATGTATGCGTCATCAGAAATTGACACTTTCTGGACAACAGAACAATGCTAGTAGTCACAAACATCACACTGAACCACTATGAATAGGAGCACTGGTTTGTACCACATGTACATGCACCTCAGTGTCTCAAATGGAAATAGAGGAAATAGCCGTGATCATGGTGATAGCCGGGCCATGATGCAGAACCACTTGGGGCCGTCAGATTAATTCCTGGACCGAGCCAGCCGGGAAAAAACCCTCGCGCTGACGGACGCAGTAGTGAGGGAAAAAACCGGGTGTATATCCCCAACGGCGACATAGGAGTAACGGATAAGACCACGGCGACTCGAGGTAGCCACGACCCTTGTTCGAGGTACAGCGTCTCTGCACTGGAGTCTCCCACTGCTTGAGCCAGCTGCTCAATGAAGTGGAAAGTATATAAATGGAGAAGACATGGTGTCAATAAGAAGTGTAGCGCTCGCACTTGACAATGCAAAGTGTGTGGCATGACGCAAAATGCACATTGAAGAACTACGGAAGCCAGGACCAGCCCTCCCTTGGCGAGTACACCGACTGTGAAGCAGTCACTGCAAGGAAAGTGCACACACAAGAACAACACAGAAAGCTACTTGAGCAAAATATTGCTCATCCATGCATACTATGGACACAATCGGACTGCATTCGAGCGAGGCAAACATCTTTTCTTTGCATGTTGGAACACTGTACAAGACACATAAAGACACACATGTCTACTAACTGAAATAAATTTATTGCACAGAAAAGTCAATATGAGTGTGTCCGAATGTACCTTTGAATAGACAAAAGCACATAAACCGCACACCAATGGATGAAAGTGGCGAAAGAAATGCAAGGCACAAAGCACTCACCACTCATGGAGGCATATCATCAGCTGCATTGCCGCCGTCAGCCATGCACGAAACCATATCCCGCATCTGGCGCACGACCTTCAACACTGCTGGCTGGGTGGAAGCCTGCTCCAGTTCATCGCACAATGCAGAGGCGGCATTGTTGTCGGGCGCGAGATGTAGTAGCTGCTGGAATTCTTTCCTGAGGGAAGCCATAGTCCGTCTCGTATCACTCCCGTGTTTCTCGGCCTCTTCGGTGGTCAGAAAGTGTGGTGGCTGAGACTGCCTGGACAGCGGATAGGCACCATCTCCAAATAATGTCGCTAGCTGCTTCCGTCTGGCTTTACCCACAGCAGTGAGGTTCACAGCATCCGGCACCAATTCCTCACCAGGACTGAAGGATTGCAGTGGTCTTGAAAACGCTAGCTCACCATTGGGAACCAACATTGTTCTCAGACGCGCACGCCACACCAGAAGTTCCTTAGCATAACCGGGACGGGCTCTCGATTCCGACTTGGGATCTGGCAGCTGTAGGGCACTGAATACTTTGGAGCGGAGCTTCATGAGCTGCTCATGGTTACGGATCACCCGGCGCCACATGTTGGAGTCTTTCTCCCCTGACACCCATGACTTCACATTGGCATTTAGCTCTTCGACGATAGCATCAAGTGCCTGGTGGAGGTCACCCTTTCCTGACCTGCTGAGGAAGAGAGTGCTGTCAATGAGACTTCGCAAATCTGTTGAGAGCGAGAGGCGACGGACTTCCTCGGACATGTCAATCACTTGATATGTTGTGTGATTCCTCGCATGCAGCAATGGAGAGAGAACTCTGCGAGACTCAATGAACAGTGGTACGTCGTTGTGCCGTGCTCCCCGCCGAAGCATGAATAGTGGAAAGCAGTACTGAGTGCACAGCTCCAGCAGCCAGGAATACGTATGATTGTTGGTGAACTGCTTGCACCAAACGAAGAAACCCTCTGCTGAAGGGGTGTTGCTGCCAGATTCCTGGGCGAGTACATATGGCCGCAGAAGTTCGTCAAAGCAGCCATCCGTGAAACGGCTCAGCTCATCGTATGTGCGGTGGTGGTCTTTGGCTTTGAAGGCCCAATCCAATTGCTTAGGAGAAGTATATCCCTGGCTAATAGCGAACTCCTTATAGGCAAATGGCCACAGAGACTTGACAATGCACTGGATGATGTTCATCTCCCAGTGCAAGCCACCTGAAATGGGTAGTACCCAATCAAACTCCCCATCAGGAATGTTTGTTGGGGGCATCAATTCACCCTTCTCAACCAGATCATCTAAAAACTTCCTCAGCCTCTCACGTAACGTACTCATGTTCCCTGTTACACCCAAGCCCCTTGTACTGCATGCACTCTTCAGGTCAGCCTTCGACATTGAGTCGACATGCAATATTCCTGCTTCATGGTTAGCCAATTTGGCTGCATCACGCCTTGCCTCCTCCATCACAGTCAATATGAGGGAGTACGGCAAGCCGTCACACACAACAGTGAGCCATTCCCTCACCCCCTCGTCACCTACACATTGTTTTACCCTTGCACGCTTCCCAACATCGCGCAATACAATGCGAACAGCTTCATGGGAGTTGGGGTTGACAAAAATGGGCTCTAGAAACCCAACATCTGCCGGGGACACAAGGGGCACATCTTCACCACTGGTCTTTGAGGACACTCTGCTTAACGAAACACCGGTACTGCTGTCCACATGCGGTACATACACAAACTCGGTGCCTGACTTTAGTGTGCCTGGCTTGGTGACTTTGATGTGCTCGGTCGACACCACTGATTTGCCTTGGTCAGCTTGCAATGCCTGCCTAACATTTACCCTGCATGTCGCATTGGGACACAAATGCAGCCTGCGCTCCATCTGTGTGCAACATTTAGGGCAGATCAGGTACCGTCTTTCTCGTTCCAATGATGCAAGATGGCTATCAACTGGGTCAGCTGATAGCCTCTGCTCAGACACAAGAGCTTCAATCCTTTTGTTCATGAAACTCAGCAAGTGTGGCTTAATCAAAGATTCTTGATCTAGAGGATCCGGTACCTGATCTATTGCACATTGAATCTCAGTGACAGTTGGAAATTTCCAATTTCGGAAATGGAAATCTCCCTTTTCTTGGGAAGGAACATGGGAATGACGGGCATAGACAACATTGGTCAGAACCTCATACGTGGAACGATTGCTGCCACGGGAGAGGTACGACTTAAGTTGTCGTTGCTCATTGTCAAACCCAACACTCACGAACCCTTCAGGAACTTGCAGCTCGCTACCACCCAACCCAGCCAACCAATCTTTCACGAGCTTATAACTCCCCCCCGACCCTAGGTGACCAAAAATGTCGAGGGTTGTCTTGCTTTGGGTGATGCTGTACACTATCGCCTGGAGCAAAACATGGAATTCTGCACAGTAATTCAAGTTAGCAGCAGCATAGAGAGACTCCATGGCTTGCGCTTGAAGAACTGTGCGGCGGTCGGCAACGGAGAAGTCAAGTGCAAACGTGCTGGAGGTCATGCCCGTCACAAACGTCTCAACAAACTTGTTGTAGGGTTTGTTGCTGAACTGACCCGTCGGGATGGACAGCAAGTTCTGCAATGATCTACTTGACTTTGCTGACTCAACAGCACTCAACACATCTGCTTTGAACTGCGGCTGCTCAGCCACACACAGCCTACGTAGCAAGTCCAAGCGACCTTCCGAGGTGCTCAGAAGCGAACCTACACTTTCCTTTTTCATACTAATTATTTCCTTCTCAAGTAATTCAATTTTGCTATCCTTCTGCAAATGCATCTTCGACAATGCAGCCAACGCACAGTTTTTGGCCACCAACACTCTCTCTAAACGCTTCAAAGAATCAACATTTTCAACATTATCAACATTTTCAACATTATCTACCGGTACTTCGTTTGAGGCTGAGGAGGTTTCTCGGGACTGGCTGAAGACAGGGGGAAAAGAATCATCTACATCATCGCAGGAGCTTACCTCTGGGAGAGCCTGAGGAACATCATCGCTGGCATCTACCATGTCTACAGAGTCCCCATAGCTATCGCCCCTCCGAGGCTCGTACAGAGGGTGGTTGGTGATTAAATCCTTCAAGTCAGCCAGTCGTCCGCAGCTCCTACAAATTGCAGATACGTCTCGTCCAGAGAGCGCTGACAACACTGCCAGGATACACTTGCGAACCCGAACATCCTTGGAGCTATGCCGAGGCGATTCCCACTCATCGTGGAAGGGATTCTTGCACGCAAACTGGTATTGAGAACCTCCAGAGTGTCTCTTCTTCGTGGATATCTTGCCCATGATGACAAAATGTTGAAAATGCAAAACGGGCTTCTTCTCGTCGCTTCTCTCTCGAGAACGACATGGCAGAGTTCAATTTTTTTTCGGGCAAAACCTCCATAAACCCCTACAGGCCAGGCTAAAACACTGTCCAACCTCCGCACTTTTGGGGTTACCTCCGCAAAGTTACCTAAAGAGGGACTGATATTTCAAGGCAAATCGAAATTGTGCCACATCTCTTTCAATGAGAACAGAGGCCTTCGCAGCGCATCCATCTTCCTCTTTTTCGGGCCGCGGGCGCACGGCGGGCGCACGGCGCGATTTGACCGTGCGTACTTGTCAATCTCCATATCAACGCCTGAGTTTTCGTGTAAAAACCGAATGTTCCCTGAACAAGGGATTCCCTCGACTGATTATGGGTTATGTACGGTGTCAATCCACGTCTGGTTATGTCACTGAAACCCTTGTGCACTCTCTCTCTCTCTCTCTCTCTCTCTCTCTCTCTCTCTCTCTCAGAAGGAGCACCGATACGGTTGTTTTTTTGTCCATTGCACACGAAGAAGAAGAAGATCTACGTGGCAGTGTGAATATGAACATAAGTTTCCCTGGAAAAATAAAACGTGCAGTCGCACCACAACTGTGCATTGAGCACGAAGCTGTACTTTGCACAGTGGAAGGTTTGACGTACTTTTCGCTTGCCCTATAGTAGATGGGCGCGGATGCGCCAGGTAGTGTTGAAACGATCTCATTGGGTACTCGTTAGCTCGCTCGCCAGAAACTCGGCTTGTTTCTGCGACCAGTTTGGTGGCACTAACGAACACCGTACACATGGCAGTACTTCTCGACCGTGGAAACGTGAAATATGTTACGACCCCCTGGTTGAGAGTTCAGTCCAGCACAAAGTGAAAATCACACGCAATTACAGTGACTGTAGGCCTGCATGACACTGAGTTGTTTCAGTTGTCGTTGAAGCTTTGGTGGACTCCTCCAGTGTCTTTTTCCGCATCTGCAGACCTGTCGCAGGACATGCTTCTGTCAATTCTCCATTCGAGTGAAAGTCATGCTCAGTCGTTGGGAAGTTTTCTCCCGCGATGCAGCGAAGAACAGGGCTACTTGCAATATTTGCAAAACGGTCTATAAAGTTACAGCGGCTGCGGAAAGACAGCGCTGAAAAGACATCTCTACACCAAACAGCAGGCCAAAACGAAGCAACAGAAGCCCCAAACGCTGGCAATGATAATTTGAACCAGCTGATTTGAAAACTCGAACTCGGAACAAAAATATTTACAAGTAAAAAATCATATTTGGTCGCTAGGTCGCTCCACAGCTTGCTCGTTAGTGGAACTGTTCGCTCGTTTGTTATAGATATGCTCGTTTCAACACTAGCATCAGGTCTCTCACACAGCAATAGGTCCCACAAGCTCATCGTCATCATCCCAAAATGTTCCACGTTCTTTGTTGCCGAGGGGCATAGCTCGTGCACATCTTCGTGGCGCATCCCTTCCCCTCATTGGAACTTTCCACACCTATCCCTTCCAAGTTGGAAGATTGTCGGTTTGCGCATCGTAGATGTGTTGGAACAAGGTGTCAAGCCATTGAATGTGGCATTATCCTTTTGTCGATATCCGCAATAATGTTGCATGTTTTCCCGATTGCACAGTTTATCCATGGGGACATTGAACCTCTGTTTTTTGAATTGACTTTCGACCATAACACTATTAGCAAACAATTAGTAATAGAGTTCTGCTGTAATGGTCTTTCTCCTCGTGCAGAAATTATATGTTCTGGCTCAGTGACAGCACCAACGAATGGTGAAGTGACCGGTACTGGCAATACATTGTCATCAGGGCGTCAGTTCACATGCATGGAAGGTTATCGAATGAGTGGTACAAGTTATGCAATATGTCAAGCAAATAGTTTTTGGTCAACTGGCAGACCAATTTGCACAAGTGAGTAACAAACAGTTGCGTATCCAATTCCATCCAGATACCTTTATTTCCTTTACACCACATCTTCCACCGGCCATGTAGCCAGAAGTTGGCCTCCTCTGATATGCACGAATATGCACATAGAATCCCGAGATAACGCTACGGTGAATGCGGACATTTTTGGTGGTGTGTTATTTTCGGTAACTTGGGTGCCGAAATGTTTATCGAAAATAAAACACACCGAAAATTTCGGTACTAGTACTAGTACACTTACCTGGAAAACTGGTTCACCGAAAATTTCCCTCCACCAAACCGCCGATTTTGGAGAAAAGCGAAAATATCGCTCCACTGAAAAATTCTGCTTTTGCAGTAAGTGGAAGCATAATCACTTTACTCACAATGGCCTAACTTCAAGTTTAGAGTATTAATTGTACTCCTACTTTGCATATCCTTGCCCAGAAGGAACAGACATTTAGGCACATCAAGCACCCTGCAGGTGGTTTTTATGGGGAGGGTCGTGGGAGGGTGCACACAACAAACTCACCACTATAAAACTGATAAAACTGACTGCATTGACAAAATAACGTCAATTTACATTTCATCATTGAGAGAAAGACGCAAACGGGAAAAGTTGGAACAAATGGACTGTCACCGCCAGGATTTGAACCAGGGACCTTCGCTTGAGGCCAGCGATGCTCTAACCACTGAGCTAAGGTGTAGCGGTCACTCCAGCAGAGACCGTTCAATATTCTCTTCATACTTCGTTCGAATTTTATATCCCATGAGGTTAGAATTATGCTAGAGATCTTGAATCAATTATTAGTCCAGAGTTGATATGGGGTTTTGTTTCACTGCCCGTGTACAGTAGACTGTGGCCCGCTACACTTGTATCCTGATTTTTGTCTCCTGTTTGGTGTCTGTCTTGTGTGCAGAAATCACCTGTACAGCTCCCGTGTCAACACCTACAAATGGTCATGTGACCGGTGGTGGCAATACGTTGTCATCAGTACGTCAGTTCTCTTGCACTGAAGGTTATCAACTGAGTGGTATGAGCTACACAACATGTCTATCAAACGGGTCTTGGTCACTTGCCAAGCCAGTCTGCACACGTGAGTACATCTCTGTCTGACATTATGTCTTTTTTCCAACTAGCACGACTGAACGTTAATTTGCAGCAGATGAACTTGAACCAGTGGAAGAGTGTTCTTTTCCTAGCTCAAGTTTGTATGTGAAGTGTGTGGGTTACAGTATGGGCTGCGACCCAACCGCTTGTGTGGATTCACCGGAAGAGTGAGTTTTCAAAATCCTAACCATCTCTCCGTATTGTATTGGTGTTCTTTTTCCCGGTCAACTCATAATAGTCTACCACTTCTTCGTACTAATGTAGCTGCATTTACACACTCCCTTCTGGTTCTGTCCTACACATTTGGGCGTCAACTTCCTCTGGAAGCCAAGATATCCCATTTTATTCCAGCTTAAGCCATGCTCTCTGATCGCATTATGTAGTACAACGCATTGACCTCTATTCAACAACACTGTTTCAGTGCTAACTGTGATAGTGTTCACATGGCGGGAGCCAGTCAAGTGTCAGTCAGTTCGACAGGAAGCGCTAGCTCCAACAACAACAATTCGTTTGGTGCTTGATCACCAAAACAATGGAAAAAACTCAAAAAAATTGTATTTGAAGATAAAGTATCAGTCCGGGAGTGAACTGCCTGAAAAGAGAAAAAACCTAGACCCGCTAGGACTCAAACCCAGGACCTTGCTTGCCATGAGCAATGCTCCAACAACTGGGCTATGGGACCAGGCTGAACCTTGCTGACAAGTGTTCACTCCAAAGACAGCTCACAACACGTGCCACACATCCTGATGCACTTGGGGATTTCCCCCTCCACAAGAGGACTAACCATGGTCAGTTTCTGGATGGTACTACCAGAGGTGCAAGAAAGTGATTAATTTTGGAAAAGATTGGGAGAACTTCAAATTCAAAGGATTAGTCGGAGAAGTGAGCTGCCTGAAAAGAGAAAAAATCGCCAGACCCACCAGGACTTGAACCCAGGACCTTGCTTGTCATGAGCCATGCTCTAACGACTGAAGTATGGGACCAGGTTGAACTTAGAAGACACACAGATTTGCCGTGCTCTTCATGTTTTTATTTAAAGAAATCCACATATTATGCCCACAGATGACAAATGTATGACTCTCTCCCTAGTTAGATCCGGCCGTACACTGCTGCGTTTGGAGTTGCCAAGGGCAGCTACGCGACTTTAAAACTCTGTATGGCGGAACGCAGATCCGCATACAGTTTACGTACTACATTCCGTAGATCGACTACGTTTTTTACTAACATAATTACGTTAAGCGGAGCCCCTCTATTAATTGCTTTATCAACATATTTACTGCTTGTATTTTGTCCGGTGTGCAGAAATCACCTGTACTAGTGCAGTGACAGCACCGGCAAATGGTCAAGCTACCGGCACTGGCTCTACATTGTCAGCAGTACGTCAGTTCATTTGCAATGAGGGTTATCAATTGAGTGGTTCAAGCTACACAAAATGCCTTTCTGATGGGTCATGGTCAACTGCCATTCCAATGTGTAACCGTGAGTTGCACACTTTTTAGAACTCTGTTTTTCACAACTATCAGCACTGTTTTGTGCGTTAAAGTACAAGCAGTACTTTGCATACTGAGTATTACTTAGCTTGCGCTCTTGAAGCGTGCTGATCTACTGCATACATGTATTAGTTAACTCGCAAAAAACCCAGACCACAACTGGAGAAAATTTCATTTTATCTCTTGCTTGCCCTTTAACCATGATGTTTAATTGTTGGCGGTGAGAAAGTCATTTGCCCGTTTTTTCTGAGATTTTAATTGTAAATTGTTTCTTGAATAGATTTCAGGCAACCTGCCTACACTCAAGATAGCACTGCTTTTCACCCAAATCCACTAGAAGTAACGTTTCAACGTTTCAGTTTTCATGACCATCATCAAGATTTTGAAATTGTTTCTGGGTACAGAAATAACATGTGCCGCATCAACGAATGCCCCCAGGAATGGTTCAGTGTCATCTTCAACAAATGCATACTTCTCTATAAGAAGGTACTCCTGTACGACTGGGTATACATTGATTGCAAGTGAAGAAACTGTTAGTATGTGAAAATATCACACCACCAAAATTTTATGCTTTTACAGTACCTGGCAGCATAATAACAACACTCACAATGGCCTAACTTCAAGTTTAGAGTTTTAATTGTATTCCTCTCTTTGCGTATCCTTGCCCAGAAGGTACAGACGTTTAGGCACATCAAGTGCCCTGCAGGTGATTTGTACGGGAGTGGGCGGGAGGGTGCACCAAACAAGCTCATCGCTATGAAACTGGTAAAACTGACTGCATTGACAAAATAATGTCAATTTATATTTCATCATTAACTGGTTTGAGAGAAAGACACAAACGGGAAAAGTCTGAAAAATGGACTGTCACAACCAGGACTCAAACCAGGGACCTTCGTTTGAGGCCAGCGATGCTCTAACCACCGAGCTAAGGTGTAGCGCTCATTCCAAAAGAGACGGTTCAACGTAAGAATTTTTATTCCCATGAGGTTAGAATTATGCTAGAGATCTTGAATCAATTAGTGCAGAGTTGATAAGGGGTTTAGTTTCACTGCTCGTGTAGCGTAGACTGTGGCCCGCTACACTTGTATCCTGATTTTTGTCTCCTGTTTGGTGTCTGTCTTGTGTGCAGAAATCACCTGTACAGCTTCCGTGTCAGCACCAACAAATGGTCTTGTGACCAGTGGTGGCAATACGTTGTCATCAGTACGTCAGTTCTCTTGCACTGAAGGTTATCGACTGAGTGGTATGAGCTACACAACATGTCTATCCAACAGGTCTTGGTCATCTGCCAAGCCAGTCTGCACACGTGAGTACATCTCTCTCTGACAGTCTGTCTTTTCTAACTAGCACGACTCAACTATTATTTGCAGCAGATGAACTTGAACCCGTGGAAGAGTGTTCTTGTCCTAGCTCAAGTTTGTATGTGCTGTGTGTGGGTTACAGTATGGGCTGCGACTCAACCGCTTGTGTGCATTCTTCACCAATTTTGTCTCTCGGCAACAAAGGTCCCACAAGTCTCATCATTATCATCCCGTAATGTTCGACGTTCTTTGATGCCGAGGGGCATAGCTCGTGCACATCTTCGTGGCGCATCCCTTCCCCTCATTGGAACTTTCCGCACCTATGCCTTCCAAGTTGGAAGATTGTTGGTTTGCGCTTCGTAGATGTGTTGGAACAAGGTGTGAAGCCATCGAATGTGTCAATATCCTTGTCAGTTTTGTGCCTTGTTGTCGCACTATCTGATTTTATATTATCTCATTACATTGGAAGCCAACAGTACTGCCGGGCACTGAAGAACGGACCGCCGAAGAACGGCCATGCTAGAACTTCACCAATTTTTAAGAACAATCTAGGCTGGTATTTTTCCAGATGAGAACTGACACCAAAATGTACACGGTAATGTACACTCAGGCGTGTAACTCTGCATAAATGTACATGTAAGAGTGTACCATCGAATAGGAATGAAAATGATGTGTTCGCTAAAAATAAGAATGGGCTAGGGTAGAACCAAGAGTCCATAACCCAAGAGTATGCAACTGTGATCTCTTTTCTATGGGCCAACCGCGCGCCGCGCTGCCTTCATTACATCATTCAGCTGCAGTCCGCGCACAGCGGAAAATCAAACACCGCACTTTCCCTCTAGTTTGACATGAACTTTCGTACGGAACTGGAGTTCACGCGCCAGAATTCAGAGATTGTGTAGGTACTGGAACGAATCGAGCAAAAACGGATGGGCTCGTGCGAGAAATTGAGAGTTTGAATGCATGCTTTCAGAGCGTGATGAAGGCAAGTTACGTAATGAAGGCAGCGCGCCACGCATGCACCCATAATCACAGTTGCATACTCTTGGGTTATGGACTCTTGGTAGAACCCTATCCCCCGGCGCCCGGCGTCCGGCACCTGGCAGTACTATAACCATTGGTTTTTCACGTTTGCTGATGAGAAGAGCTCGCTGAGTGGCAAATACTTGAGCAGGTCAAGGAATACCACCGGGCATCTATGTAATGTTGATACTCTGATACATCAAGTAAGGTAAAACCCTGGTATGACCAGAGTAGTGGGTAAATTGTTGATGTGACAAGATGAGGATCCTTTGAGGCCATTTGAGGACAGCCCCATATTCCAATGCGTCGTAACTGACAATTTCAAATGCAAAAACTCTGCGGATCGTAACTCAATCGAATCTCGCCAAAATCAGCAATCAAAATGATACAGGTAGAAGAGAAAGCCCTCACCTGCCCATAGAAATAATCCCCGGAGCGCTACGAGCAACGGTCCTTGAGATAACCACCCATAAGTTGGGCCGAGATCTTGCCAATTTGAAAGGTGGACAGTGTGACCTGAGTATTTAGAAGTTTGAGACTTTTCGTTACGCTGAATTACTCAACAATTTGAACGGGTTTCACTCGTGACATATGTATAATCGAGTTGATCAATGATCAAGATCAGAATCAAAGTCGATGACTGAGGCCGATCAGCCGGAGTTCGCTGCATGCACCGAGGTGTAGGGTTTCCTCGGGTTCGGTGGAGAGTGAGCATTAGTCTGCTTCTTGTTACTTTCTTGTCGAGCAACTATTTGTTTCTAAAAAGTCGACACTCTAATCAGTGACAATGCAGGGCTGGTTGACCACGCAGCGTTTGGTCTCAGCGTTACTACATCGAACTGACAAGGAGTATATTTTGAAATTCAACTCGTAATGAAAATTCGATTTCTAGGGCCCGGAAGACTATGCTCGAAACCCCATAATGTGTTGAGCTTATGATGTTTGCTAGTTACAGAATATAGATCTGCTGGGAATGGAGACGTTATGTAGACAAGGCCGTCACAGCCGAGGCGGCTGGGGCCGCCCCACTTTTTTGGTGTTTTTTTTTTTAGCACACTGCAACAAAGCGCGATGATCGTACCTCAGCCCAAATCCTTGTCCCCGATCTTGGTTTATTGCAGAATCAAAATTAATAGTCTTTCATTGCAGTTGCAGTGTACACTGAAATGACACTAAATGCCTGAAAATGCTTGCAATTGGCTTCAATTTTTGAATTTTTTCCCGGGGAGGATAATGAAGAGCCCTTGTCCTCGATCGTAGCGCCTTCTTGGTTTGTTGCAGAATCAAAAGTCCAGCAAAATCATTGTGTTTGACACTGAAATGGCACCAAATGCCCGGAAATGTTTTGCAGGTGGCTTCAATTTTTGAATTTTTTCGCACCCCCTTCCATGGCCGCCCCACCTCCAAAGTCGGCGCGACGGGCCTGGTAGATAAAAATCGACAGGATTATCTTTGCCCAGCTAGCTAAGCCAAACCGATTTCATACTTGCTACCAACACAGGATTACTGTTGGCATCATCAAGAAATGCACGAGACACACGACTTACGTACCGGATACACGAAATAGCCGTGGATGTATTCCTGTAGCCAACAGGTCGAACTCTCCCGAGTGCACCTGAAAGGAATGTGATCAAACCTGCAGCGATTCCGTGGTCGAAAAGACAGACGAACTGCCAGGAAAATAAGTTGCAGCTAGCCCCATATATCGAGCATTCTACTGCATCATGCCATTGTCGTCCACGCAAACAGAATGCCATCATACATCGTAGCATCGTCGAAATAATGTTGCTGATCAATCCGATTATCCAGATTTTGATTCTGATCTTGAATTTCTGATGAAGCCAGGGATAATTTGTTCAGTCATGTCAGCAGCCGAACATTCGCTAAGCTTGTGACTAGCATCCTGTTCTGCAGGATGTGGTATATTACAAACAAATTTGATATCGCACAGATTGAACTCTGCATTTTGCTTACGGTATTCTTTATTCAGAAAATGACAAAGAGTCTCTGTGTGGCCGTCCTATGCCACGAGAAACTCCAATCAGACTCCTAAGTCCTCTGCCTTCTTGATTGAATGTCCGCTTCATTTGAACAATGAACAAAACAATTGAGGACGGCTTTGCAATGAAAAATTCAACTACATTGGAGCTGAAAAAAGAAGAAACGTGCTCAGGTTGAGACTCAAGTAGTATGGTACGCAGTAGTCTTCTTTCTTATTCACAATCATGTTGCATGTTTTCCCGGTTGCACAGTTTATCCGTGGGGACATTGAACCTCCGTGTTTTGAATTGACTTTCGACCACAAAACTATTAGGAAACAATTCGTTATAGAGTTCTGCTGTAATGGTCTTTCTCCTCGTGCAGAAATTATATGTTCTGGCTCAGTGACAGCACCAACGAATGTTCATGTGACCGGTACTGGCAATACATTGTCATCAGGGCGTCAGTTCACATGCATGGAAGGTTATCAAATGAGTGGTACAAGTTATGCAATATGTCAAGCAAATGGTTTTTGGTCAACTGGCAGACCAATTTGCACAAGTGAGTAACAAACAGTTGCGTATCCAATTCCATCCAGATACGTTTTATTTCCTTTACACCACATCTTCCACCGGCCATGTAGCCAGAAGTTGGCCTCCTGTGATATGCACGAATATGCACATAGAATCCCGAGATAACGCTACGGTAAATGCGGACACTTTTGGTGGTGTGTTATTTTCGGTAACTTGGGTGCCGAAATGTTTATCGAAAATAAAACACACCGAAAATTTCGGTACTAGTACTAGTACACTTACCTGGAAAACTGGTTCACCGAAAATTTCCCTCCACCAAACCGCCGATTTTGGAGAAAAGCGAAAATATTGCTCCACTGAAAAATTCTGCTTTTGCAGTAAGTGGAAGCATAATCACTTTACTCACAATGGCCTAACTTCAAGTTTAGAGTATTAATTGTACTCCTACTTTGCATATCCTTGCCCAGAAGGAACAGACATTTAGGCACATCAAGCACCCTGCAGGTGGTTTTTATGGGGAGGGTCGTGGGAGGGTGCATACAACAAACTCACCACTATAAAACTGATAAAACTGACTGCATTGACAAAATAACGTCAATTTACATTTCATCATTGAGAGAAAGACGCAAACGGGAAAAGTTGGAACAAATGGACTGTCACTGCCAGGATTTGAACCAGGGACCTTCGCTTGAGACCAGCGATGCTCTAACCACTGAGCTAAGGTGTAGCGGTCACTCCAGCAGAGACCGTTCAATATTCTCTTCATACTTCGTTCGAATTTTAAATCCCATGAGGTTAGAATTATGCTAGAGATCTTGAATCAATTATTAGTCCAGAGTTGATAAGGGGTTTTATTTCACTGCTCGTATACTGTAGACTGTGGCCCGCTACACTTGTATCCTGATTTTCGTCCTCTGTTTGGTGTCTGTCTTGTGTGCAGAAATCACCTGTACAGCTCCCGTGTCAGCACCTACAAATGGTCATGTGACCGGAAATGGCAATACGTTGTCATCAGTACGTCAGTTCTCTTGCACTGAAGGTTATGAGATGATTGGTATGAGTTACACAACATGTCTATCAAATGGGTCTTGGTCATCTGCTATGCCAGTCTGCACACGTGAGTACATCTCTCTCTGACATTCCGTCTTTTCCAACTAGCACGACTGAACGTTAATTTGCAGCAGATGAACTTGAACCAGTGGAAGAGTGTTCTTGTCCTAGCTCAAGTTTGTATGTGAAGTGTGTGGGTTACAGTATGGGCTGCGACCCAACCGCTTGTGTGGATTCACCGAGTGAGTTTCCAAAATCCTAACCATCTCTCCGTATTGTATTGGTGTTCTTTTTCCCGGTCAACTCATAATAGTCTACCACTTCTTCGTACTAATGTAGCTGCATTTACACACTCCCTTCTGGTTCTGTCCTACACACTTGGGCTGCAACTTCTTCTGGAAGCCAAGATATCCCATTTTATTCCAGCTTAAGGCATGGTCTCTGATCGTATTATGTAGTACACCGCATTGACCGCTATTCAACAACACTGTTTCAGTGCTAACTGTGATAGTGTTCACATGGCGGGAGTCAGTCAAGTGTCAGTCAGTTCGACAGGAAGTGCGAGCTCCAACAACAACAAGTCGTTTGGTGCTTGATCACCAAAACAATGGAAAAAACTCAAAAAAATTGTATTTGAAGATAAAGTATCAGTCCGGGAGTGAACTGCCTGAAAAGAGAAAAAAACCCCAGACCCGCTAGGACTCAAACCCAGGACCTTGCTTGTCATGAGCAATGCTCCAACAACTGGGCTATGAGACCAGGCTGAACCTAGCTGACAAGTTGGATTTTCCCCTCCCCTTGGAAGGTACACACCAGAGGTGAAAGAAAGTGATTAAATTTGGAAAGGATTGGGAGAACTTCAAATTCAATGGATCAGTCGGAGAAGTGAACTGCCTGAAAAGAGAAAAAAATCGGCAGACCCACCAGGACTCGAACCCAGGACCTTGCTTGTCATGAGCCATGCTCTAACGACTGAGGTATGGGACCAGGTTGAACTTAGAAGACACACGGATGTGCCGTGCTCTTCATGTTTTGATTTAAAGAAATCCACAGATTACGCCCACAGATGACAAATGTATGACTCTCTTCCTAGTTAGATCCGGCCGTACACTGCCGCATTTGGAGTTGCCAAGGGGAGCTACGCGACTTGACAACTCTGTATGGCGGAACGCAGATCCGAATACAGTTTACGTACTACATTCCGTAGACCGACTACGTTTTTTACTAACATAATTACGTTAAGCTATTAGTGACATGAAAATCGATTCTGGAAAACATTTGACTTCATTGATGTACGGAGATGACGGCAGAGTTTGTTCTTTATATTGCTTTATCAACATATTCACTGTTTGCATTTTGTCCGGTGTGCAGAAATCACCTGTACTGGTGCAGTGACAGCACCGGCAAATGGTCAAGTTACCGGCACTGGCTCTACATTGTCAGCAGTACGTCAGTTCACATGCAATGAGGGTTATCAATTGAGTGGTTCAAGCTACACAAAATGCCTTTCTGATGGGTCATGGTCAACTGCCAATCCAATGTGTAAACGTGAGTTGCACACTTTTTTTAACTCTGTTTTTCACAACTATCAGTACTGTTTTGTGGGTTAAAGTATAAGCCAGACTTTGCTTGCTGAGTATCACTTAACTCGCGCTTTTGAAAGGTGCTGATCTACGGCGTACATGTATGAGTTAACTCGCAAAAAAAGACTACAACTGGAGAAAATTTGATTTTAGCCTTTACTTCCCCTTTAACCATTACGTTTAATTGTTAGAGGTGAGAATGCCATTTGCCGTGTTTCCTGAGATTTTAATTGTAAATTGTTTCTTGAATAGATTTCAAGGAATCTGCCTACACTCAAGATAGCCCTGCATTTCACACAAATCCATTACAAGTATCGTTTCAATGTTTCAGTCTTCACGACCATCATCAATATTTTGAAATTGTTTCTGGGTACAGAAATAACGTGTGCCGCATCAACGAATGCCCCCACGAATGGTTCAGTGTCATCTTCAACAAATACATACTTCTCTATAAGAAGGTACTCCTGTACGACTGGGTATACATTGATCGGAAGTAAAGACACTGTTTGTATGTCCGATGGGCAATGGTCGGGTACTACACCCACATGTTCACGTAAGTAGTATTGGCAATGTTTATTGTTTTTGTTTTCAATGACAACAGCCATAAGGTCCAGGGAGTCGATAGAAAGAAAACCCTCATCATTTTGTACATATGGAATACGTCTTGAAGATGTGCACGAGCTATATCCTTCGGCCACAATGGTCCTACTAGTCTTGTTGCAGAGGGACATAATTCGTGCACAGCTTTGTGGCGCATTCCCTTCCTTTGTTCCAACCAACTATGCTCACGCAACTCAGTTTGGTGACCTTTGCATTGCAGGAAAATACATGGTACAGGTGAAAACAAGAGAAAAAGACAACTAGAGGTACCCGTCCATCATGGAAGGAACAACAACTTACCAGAACAGTAAAACATCGAAGAAACAAGCAGCGCAAGCAAAAGCCAAAACGGTCTCATCAGTAGAACGTGCATGTACACGTGCGCCTACAAAGCACACACAACAGTGCAAACGAAGGCAACATGCTACACTAATCTACATGCATCAAATAAGGATTCCAAATCGCAAACGAAAAAATGGCCAGATCGGCAAAAAGATACGCAACTGAGTAGAGTCCGCAAAACCCTGGAACATGATGACATCAACCAAGAAAAACAGGAGAGCCGTGCCTGATAGACAATAACTAGACTGAACGCAAATTCCAACAACAAACTACAGTCCATTTCAAAAAGATTTGCAATCCTGGCGATCGCCCGCGGGGTTTGGCGTCTTACAGTATGGGCACTCGAGCGCTGCCTGGAAAAACTCACTGTGAACTCGAAGAAATATTCCGCGCGAAAGCAGGAAAAATGACAACTCACTCACCTTGATACAGTCATGTACGTCTACGTCTGTCGTCTGGTTTACAACAAACGAGTTCTTCCTCGTATCGATAATGGAGTCAGAGAGGACATGTCGAAACGAAAGTGTTGAAAATGTTGACGAGCGGCATGGGTCCCAATTCGTTTTGTGACCAAAATAGTTTCTTTGAGCTGCGATGCAATTTACTCACCGTGTGACTTCGACGACATCGACACGAACTCATTCCCAACGCCATGACTTGGCAAAGCTATCCGTGTGACTTCGACGACATTTTGAGAAAAACAGACGCTTGTGAACACTGATAGAAGATGGCGTTGACTGCTAAATTCAAATATATTGGCGATCCGTACTAGAATAAATCTCCAAAAGCTAGAGCGCCATGACTTCCATATTCACTCACACCATTGCAGTGTTGTGGGTGTGTTCACATGGCCTGAGCCAGTCAAGTGTCAGTCAGTTCGGAAGGAAGCGCAAGCTCCAACAACAACAACAACTAGTCGTTTGGTGCAGCCATCTTCTTTGTCTTGCACCAGCTTGATCACCAAAACAATGAAGAAAAAAAGTGTGACTTGAGGATAGTTTGGGATTTGAACTCACAACTTCATGGTCAGCAGACAGCATTCATAACCACAAGGCCAAAAAGGTAAGGATAAATCGTGGGTTTTGATAAAAAATCGATACTGGCTTCCTGGGCAAATTGTAAAGCATGGGAAAAGGCCGGAAACCTGGCCGAAATTCTAACTCCTTAACGGCTGATCCAATTGTTCGGAAACCTTCACAGAACAATTTGCCGTGTCCTAAAAAGCCATTCTATGTACTTTGTTGTCCAAATTTCCCTTATCTTCATACTTTTTAAGACCCAAACCTGATTGTAAATCTTTTTGAAACAGACTATAGTAGGATAACGATAAACTAGTAACACTGAGACAATTCGACTGTCACAAATTACAACAAAATACCATCCACGAAGTCCTTTCACTTTGTCCACCGCTCGTTGCAAGATATCACTCTACACCAAGGGTCTTCCTGGGGATCACAATCCTAAACAGACGAATGTACGCACACTGCAGCCGTCTCTGGTATCCCGCATGTGGCAGCATGTGAGCATGCGCGCAAAACAAAACCCGACACATGACAATGACGTAACTGTTCCATGGTGCACAGAAGACTGCACGTGCAACCCAACCAATGCAACGAAGTCAAGACTAAAACAATACAAAATAGAACTAAAGAACAACCTAAATTTAAGCCATGAAAAGACTTTCACTCTAGACCCGGTGCGCGACAAGTGCCATAGGGGCACTGTATTTGTCACAGTCCATCACAGATGGCACTATGTTTAAGAGAGGGCATTAGTTTTTCAACGCTGGTAAATATATGCCATCCAGCACAAACAAATGAAGGAAAAGGGAGCCTAAGGGCATGATCGATTTGGCGAATCCCAAGCAAGTGCGCTCAGAGTGACCGTGATCGATTGGTCGATTCCAGCCGAATCCGGAGTAGGTGTACTTGGAGTGGAATCCGACCACACCGGCCCCCACACCGGGAGTGGCTGCAGTGGAAATGGACTTTGGCTTTTTTTTACAGCTTTCACAGAACCTTTGTATGATATGCACTGTGCGCACTACACCCTTGTTCTGTTCAATTGGGCCAACCTAAAGTTTACTGTATGTCAACACAACACAAACGGCGACAAGAACTGCGACTTAGATCCTGAGACCGTCAGTGGAGTGTCATAGACAAAAAAGTACCAGCACCAAACTTGGCTACGCGCTTGGTTAGAAGCCCGGGGGGGGGGGGGGGGGGCACTATTCAAGTAGGTTTTTATTTTTTTCATTGGCTCTCCAAAACTGGGGCGCTATTCGAGAGAGAGCCCTATTCAAGAGAGGGCTCTAATCGCGCCAGTACGTTAGTTGAGAAATCATTACCATCGCGACATAGACGTCGTGCTTGTACGTGGTGACGCCGAGGATGAAGACGCCATCATCACTCGTAACACATCATGTTACGAGGGATTCTGCCTCACTGGCATTTCTTCACATGTATTTTTGTCCCTGCACAGAGATCACCTGTACAGATTCCGTTTCAGCACCAACCAATGGTCACGTGACCGGTAGCGGCAATACATTTTCAGTAGTACGTCAGTTCATATGCAACGAAGGTTATCAAATGAGTGGTACCAATTACACGATATGTCAAGCAGACGGCTTGTGGTCAACTGCGACACCAATGTGCACGAGTAAGTAACAACAATGATAATAATTATGATTGCAAATAACGCTGAGTAATTACTGTGAAACCCGAAAGTTTAACGCCCAAAAAGTATAAAATTTTCGTAATTTTGGCATGATTACTAGTTGATTACGTGCAGAAAGTTTAACGATGGCCACCTAGCCACCCATCTGTATGCGCACTTTTACAAAGGCATCTAGCGATTTTTCGAATAACGAAAAAATAATTGGTCTTTAAGACGTTACACTTTGTGATTCGTTAGACTTTCCGGGTTTACAGTACTTCCTCCGCGTCATCGAAATTGTCGCCGTTTGACTAGTGACTTGTCTTTTGTTACTGACAGCTCCTTAAACTAAGCCATTCAAAATTTATTACACAGTATGATAGTCTGAAGACTAGAGTAACGTTCCAGGACAACTGGACTGAGAGTTTTCATGCAGAGATGAAGTCCTCGTCGTCGCTGATGTCAATGGACGCAAAAATATCGTTCCGAAATATTTCAAGGAAGGTTGAAAGTTGGTCGCGCCTCATCTCAAACGCTTTGACTTTCTCCACAGGACAAGAGCTGCTATGCTTGTTGTCTGCTAGCTCTGGATGATTTCTACTTCACCACCAACGAAGCCTAGTAAGAATACACGATCGTTGCGAGGTCGGTTGATTACTGTCGGTGGAATCACCTCGGCATCACCTCGATCTTGAAATGAACTTCATTTAGCCGTGGCATGCCCCCAGCTCATGCAGGCAAGTGTAGTATCACGTCCAGCGCGCCCTCTTTTTCAGCATCACTAGCACTGGTATACCATGGTACGGCACCTGCGCGTGCATCACTAGCACTACGTGTAGAGTCTACACAGCTCTTGCATGTACAATCATGTACTAGTACTGAGTGTCTTAGCCAGAGGGAAAAAATTTATCGCTGTTGCAGGCATTTAGTTTGCCGACCCCTCGATGTTTCTCCAAGCGCTGCCACTTGTTCCACGAAGTCATTCTCACCTCAGCTAAGGTAAAACAGTGATGGGGCTTGAGTGAATGGCTATAAGCACGAGAAATGTACAGGCTGCAATGCCTGACTGATCTCAGCGAGTCGAAATTACCAGCGCAGCGACATCAGCGAAGAAATTGCGTCTAGTTCAAAATTCAAGCTTCCAATAACAGAAAATAGAACTTTGCCGTCACCCTATACTGATGACTATCGCCTATGTCCGATTCCTTGCCTCTGGTGCGAGTGCTGGTGAGTAAATACCGCGTTTTACATCAAAAGTCAAACTGCGACAATTTCGATGACGCGGAGGAAGTACAATGGAAGGTAATAACCCTAACAAAAATGAAACTGGCCACAAAACTTCTATGCATACATGTACATACATCAATGAAAAGTTCATGGATAAGCTCCAAGAATGTGTTCTTGTGATTGCGATCAGTTTGATTTACAATACATCATCACTACGAAGGAATCAACGCAGGGTGATAGAGAAAATGTGCCATTTTCCAACAAGAAAGACAGTATGAGAGACATTTTGAAAACAAGCCGGGTTGGTACAAAATGATTTAAATTGGCTGTAGCACCTGATGCGTTTGTTGCAGCACATGATGTGTTTTAGATACATTGCAAACACTGAGAAAACAGCATGGAATACTGTACATGAGAACTATAGAGAACTATGGAAAGGGTGAGAATGTAGTTACCAATATGTTTTGGATGCTTATGTCTGGTCGTCGATTGTGGACACACACAGCTTCTAAAACCTCCAGTTCAGAGAAATTACGAGCCCAACGCACGACACTAAAAGATGAATTTATGTACTCTTGCCAATATGAATGACAGTGTACGGTGATTGGATCAACTAACATGGGAAGTGCATTGGTGCGCATGTAATACCAGTTGGACACATGTGCCTCGTAGTTTTTCGTAGTACTGATCCCGAATTCCACGTGTGAAGGCAGTGTACGTTGATGAGTACATCAAATTAGGGAAGTATGCATGTAATAAATGTGTTATTAGCCTCGTAGTACGGGCAATACCGGCTACGATATCTGCCCTCACGCTGACGCCGTTCGGGCAGATATCGGCCGGTATTGCCCTGATACTCGGCTAATAACACATACTTACACGATAACACTGCTCGTAAGAATTATGAAAATATGAGAGGTCATTCTTGTAGGCAGTACCATATTTCCCCGACTATAAATCGCACTTGATTATAAGTCGCACCCCCATTTTCAGCTTTGAGCAATATTGATTTGATATAGTGACCTCTGTAGTAAGCCACGCTCGATTTTAAGTTGCACTCCCTTTTTACCCTTGAATTTTAGAGTAATATGGTGCGACTTATATTCGGGGAAATACGGTATATTATTTTACATGACCACAGTGTAACCGATACGCACTATACCGGTGGAATCCTGATAATTCAAATATGGCTTAATTCGAACATACCGCTTAATTAGAAGTTTTTCCAGGACCGATTTCTAGCAATACGATTCCCACATAAACAATTTCTGATTATTCGAACCTCAAACTGGATATGTCCGGTTAATTAGAAGTTCCACAGATTCCACTTACATAGAAAATGTGTGGGATTTGTGCTGATAATTCGAAGTTAGCAAAGTGTAATTCGAAGTTCACTGTACACTGTACAGGTCAGTTCAGTTTGCATGGGCAGGCTGTGACAGTCAGTTCAGTATCCGTGAAATATGTGTCCAAGGTCCATAGCGCAGCTCTGCGTGACCATGAAAGCATTTTGACATACATATTGTGTTGTGGGTGCATGTTTGGATAATTAGAATGTCCGGATAATTAGAAGTTTTTCCCTGGCATTTTGAGGTTCGAATTATCAGGATTCCACCTGTATTTGCATGTTTCGTATTCCTTCTACAGAAATATTGTGTACTGGATTCACATTCCCAGAGAATGCCCAAGTATCTGGTTCAGGTAATGCGTATCTCTCTGTTCGTCGATTCTCTTGTTACACTGGATATGCGCTCCTTGGAGATACATGTACTGTTTGTATGTCCAATGGGCAATGGTCCAAAAGCAAGACAACATGTTCACGTAAGTGGCATGACCGATGTGTTCGCATGGACTAAACCATCCTTTCTTTTCTCCCAGCTGGTTTGGGTGTCACTGGCCTCAAGCGACAGTAGCTAGTTTGAGTGCTGGTGGCGACAGCCAAGTGTGCTTCTGACATTTTTTCCCTTCAAAGTTCCATGGAAGTGCATGTGGTACATGAATTCCATTACACATACTTGGTCCGGCTCATCGCAATTGTCGCTTATCTCCCACGCACTTTTGGACAGGTAAAACCCAGTCCAATCACGATATTTAACTTACTTTTGCTTGGGAGGTTGTGATGGCAAGATCCAAGGAGGCACCAAAGAAAAATGATCGCGACTAGCGCTTTGAATCGCGATGTGTTCGACTTTTTTGGGAAGTGGGAATCTGGCCATTCACTGTCGACATGTCTGTGTTGCCAAAAGCCAAGCACAGCCACCCGAAGACCGGAACTGTGGTAGGGGGCAACTGACAACCTGGAGAGCGTGACAGGCACACGTGCACGGCAGAGAAGTATGAGCGTCATGCTGAAGAAGAAAGGTGTTTTTTATGCGATGCGCCCGGCCGATGTGTTGGTTGTTCCTTCGCTTGGTGGACCTAGCAGCAGCATTACAAGAGTCGTGGTCAGCGTATCCAGCGGAGCGTATGACAGTTGTGTGGAGAGGCCTGTATGCCTCGTTCGATCGAAGGCTTTGTTGAAACACACTGTGGCGACACACAGTCACAGGTCACACTGCCCACGGTTCCTTCAAGCACCGAAGTGACAGCCACAACTGTTCCTTTCCCATTGCTGCCATACGACAGGCTGAGAAAGCAAGAGATACTCTACCACTACCAGTCTACGCCAGCAGCTAGACACCAACGTGTCACGTAATGGTGGTGCAGCAGCTCGAGTGATGCAGTGTTGAATGAACTCTTGACCTGTAAGAGTGTGAGTGCAAGAACGAGCTCCTTCGCTGATTTATTTCGTGCATTTTGCTTACCTTGCTTCCTTTCTTGGACTCGCCTCACCTGATTCCATTGCTGAATTTTTTTTCTTGTGGCGGAGAGTATTCATGTATCATGCTTCCTCACTATGCCTATGGAAATTTCACAGAGCGGTAAAAAAACTCCTGTTCTTAGTGGGGATCGATAAGCGACAATTGCGATGAGCCGGACCAAGTAGAAGGATACCACGATGAAGGAACATTTTGTATGTACAAGTTTTGTTCTTCTGACAGTCTGATAATGCGTTTTGACTTTTTGAAAAAATAATTTTCACATACCACACACATGCGTTGTGCCATATTGGCACATATACATGGAAAACACGGAAAATTGTACAATTGCTGGTTCAGTTCCGAAATGGGGATGATGCTGCGACTTCAGGGGGGGGGGGGGGAGGAATCGCCAAAGCAATCAAAGACTTCAGCGGCCGTGCTTCGCTCACCATATAGATCAGCATCACCCAGAAGCGCTGTTGGACAGCTGAGGAAGGGCGCGAGCAGGCCACGCTGTGCTGCAGTATCTCAGGTTTTTTTTAACACATGAATCGGTATCCATTATGGAACTGTTCCTTTTCCCTTGCCCGTATTTCACCTGATGAGAAGGCTTGAAAGTACACTTGTGAAACCAAAAACTTTCAAGATGTTCGTAAAGAGCCTGAAGTGTGTCTTTTTTATGAGTATTATCACAGTATGGAATTATTTAGCGTCACTCAACATCTGATTACACCGCATGAGGCTGTGTACCCAAAAACAAGCAAAGCAAAAAGGGCAAAATACAGATACGGTCACTTAGGTACATTATTATGTAGATGGCCTTTCGTCGCTTGGAGACTGTCGGCATGGAGATCAATCTCCATGTCTTCCCCACCCTCAGAGAAGTAATCCGAGGATGGAAGTACCTCACTGTGCAAGCCAATCTGCGTGTTTTCCCGTAAGTTTTCGATCACGCATTTCTCAATGAAATCAAGCGGGACTTGCGTCGATCTCTTTAGCTACCGAAAGTATCATGCCTAGGCTGTGTGAGAGCTGTGGGATATCCTCATCGGCTGATGCTTCCTGTCGTGCCAGGCATGGTTTTGACTGTGGCTTGAGTACGTCGATATAGACGTGCTCCAAGCATGTGCGTCCCTTAATGGGTTAACTCTTTATGCTTGCAGTTATTTCGGTGAAGGGCAATGAATAGGCCTAGCAATGAATAAACACAGTCATGGTGACGATGGTAAACAGGGTTAAGGTGTACATATTGCCAGTATGTAAGGGCTATGTTTTACCTGCATAATAATTACCCATGAATTACTCAACCAAATAGAATGCTATGATCACATCGGACCCATGCCGGGTGTGCGTTTACAGGCAAAGTATTCTTCAAGATAGCTAAATTTGGATTCCCTGGCAATCAGCTTTGAACACTTTTGACTGCGAACGATAACTCCTACAATCAGGGCACAAAGCCATGAAATAAGGAACAGAACCAATTTAGTTTGGACCTGACCGGCGGTTACAGACAGCGGTGCAAAAACTAAGTGAGTTACACATGTACTTCCTCTGTTAAGCAAAACTTCGTTGCTTTTTTACAGTTTAGTCCAAACCATTCTATGGCTACGAATATGCTTTGGAAAGTGGAAAACAAGGCATCATATGCTATTTATTTTACAGATGTTACACAGCTCGTTTCAAAGCAGCCCAGCTTCACTCTTCGTCTGAATCTGATGCCGACCAACTCCCTGATGACATCGAGTCTGCATCCTCGCTGACTGTCGCCGCCAGCGCTGCCAACTTTTGTTCCGCAGCCTTTACAAGTTTCCAGGACACGATTATTTTGATCGTGGAGATCGCCAAATGCTTCGCTGGAACTATGAGCTTGACGACCTGCAAGGTGGCGCTGATAGTTGTGGCCACTCGCCGGAACGCCATGAAAGAAGCCATACAGACCCAAACAAACGCTCGCCATTTTCGCAGCGCTGTAGTCGTGCCAGCAAGTTTCCAGACCCTACTGAAGCTCTTTTCTGGTTTCCTTCGCCACGAGTGACATGTTTGTCTACAGACTGTGGAAGAACGCCAAGTCGTCGATGTTGAGATCAGGATTTTGCGCCGACTGAACGACAACCTGAATGTCGAGCGCATTTGATTTCCCCTGCGCTGCAAACACAAGTGCATTGATTTGGGCTGTGTGCAGATACCCACCATCGACTCATGCTAGTACAGCAGTGCCTGAGCGCTGGCCGGCTCCTGGACACTTCTTCGGCCCACGCGGTCTTTCAAAGTATTTCTCATTTTCGCACTTTGGTGTCATGAGTGCGCGCCTGTGTTGTGTTCTGGTGACATCCTGTCGAGAAACGTTTCAGCTTCGCCGATTTTTTTCAAAGGAATCCACGCTCTTCGGAGGTTCAAAAGCCTGTCAGAGCAATGGACGACAACCCAGCTACCCTATGTAGGAGATAGATCACTACCATGCATGTATAATGCGGACAGAACTATCATAACAAGAACACTAAAAGTGCAACGAAGTTTTGCTAAGCGGAGGAAGTGACTTCATCTTGTGCTGGTTTATTTTGCATTGAAATAATTATAACTTGGGAAAAAAAGGTTTCAGAGCAGACTCGCTATCTTCCCATTCACTCTACAAACTGTAACTCATTCCTCAATCAATTATTTCAACGTTTCGGCAAGATTGCCCTCGTCAGGTATGCAATGGTGTGCAAGTTTGCAAAGGAGCACACACACACACTGTGCGGAATGAAGTTAGGTTGGGTACAGCGAGTGGGAGAGCTAAGGGTGAGTTCAAACCACACAAGGATATAGAGTATTGAAACAGTTTCCGTTTCTTTGAAGTGATGTGGCAAGTGCGAAGAAGCTTGCTGTAGCCCCGAGGTGAAACGGAAAAAGACTAACTCAACAGAAAAGAACAAGATGGATGTCATGTCGTGGTCGACACGCGGTGGTCTGGGTGTGAGCCCAGAATGGCGAACTCGCGAGGTACTACGTATGTAACTGTAAGTGAAAAACGAGGAGAAAAAAAGGTGAAGCCAGATCGCGACTCCTGTACATGTAGTAATATGATGACTTGCATTGCATTATGTGTATAGCTGGAATAGAATCACGACACGCATCTTGACACACACACACACACACACACACACACACACACACACACACACACACACACACACACCTGGTCCTGGTCCTGGTAAACACTGCCATTATGGTCATGTGTCCCCTTTCGGGGCCGACGACTTGGAAACGACGAGCGACGGCAGAAAGTCGGCAGTCTGTCGAGAGATCATGGACCATGTTCAATCGGCACGCCTATAGAGCCATCTTTGGCAGCTATGGATTTGTAATCCACGAGTAGAGCGGCAGCACCGACCACAGGCCACACAGTGCGCCTTGCAGCATGAGAGGGCGAGCCGCACATGCGGCGGCGGAGGAGTCGCCTGAGCAGCAATGGTAGACACCGCCGCCCGGCACGGAGCCTGAGACGATGTCACGGGGAGAGTCCAGGAGTTGGGGCTCTTGTGGACCGCCAAACCTCCGGCACTGCGGAACCAGCGCTCGCAGGAAGAACATTGTCGGCTACCTCTCTGTTCTGATACAGGTTTGCGGCGCTCATCGAGGCATTTGTGACAAGGCAAACCACTCCTGGAGAAGAGGCGACCACACTCGGCACAAGGTATCCGCAGGGGCTCACAAACGGGTTCGGGCGGGGGCAGAACATTGTAAGCGGCCCGCCATTCCCGCCTATCCTCGGCCAAGTCGTACCATTCGTCGATGCCTAACCCTGCCAGATCCTTCCGCGCAGCATCGCGCCACCTTTTCCTCGGGCCGCACATTGGGCGGACAGGATGTAGGGTGCCAAACAGTAGCTGATGCGGGGCACGCTCTTCATGCATTCGCACAACATGCCCAAGCCACTCCATGCTGCGCGATGTCAGCAGGCTGCGAATGTCACGGGGCTGACGCGGATTCCACCGCTTCAGAATATCACCCCTGCTCAGTCGTTCGTCCCAGACATTCCGCTGGCTGATACCCATCACGGAACGGATGCAGCGCAGATGGAAAGAGCACAGTGCATCAAGGTCAGGCTTCAACGGCACCCCGAACTCAGCACAGTACAGAAGCAGAGACGACACGCATGCCCCTGTACACAAGCCGCTTTGTAGCAAGGGAGAGGTTGCTGATGCACAGTTAATGCGCGAGCTGATATTTGGGGTGGATCGGCCATTCGTGTGAACGAGAGAGCCAAGAAAACTATCTACACACTCGACCACCTCACCCGCCAAGTCCAGGGGCGTCCGGTCTTCTTCCGTGAGTCCAAATCCAGCAGCCATCACCGTTGTCTTGTTCAGGTTGACTGTCAAGCTGAAAGAAGACGCCACATGTATGAATAGGTCAAGGGCCCGCTGTGCACCATCATGAGTGGTAGCCAGCAGAGCAGAGTCATCCGCAAATTGACATACACACACACACACACACAAACACACAGATACACACACACACACACACACCTCAAACACCTCAGACTTGCCCATCGCGGAAGCGATGATAGCGAACAGCTATGTTAGACATAGCAACTTGTGCTGGGATTACAACATTCAACAGCTTGCAAGGCTGTTGAATTGACCGCCACTATTTTTAGCCTGGTATCCACCACACAGCTGATTGAAGTGACTTTTTCTGGCCAGTGAATCCCTATTTTTCATTTTTCTTTTTCTTTTTTCTACACACACACCACACCACATGCTCCGGCATACACTGGCTGCTGGTAACCACCCAGGAGAATGAAAGAAGAGTCAGGAAGTGTCCGAGAAAGAGAAGAAAGACGTGTGTGACCATAATCGTCGGGAATTGAACCTGCAACCTCTCGATTGGAAATCGACTGCAAATACCACTGCACCATATGGGACACATATGGGGCACACACACACACACACACACACACACACACACACACACACACACACACACACACACACACACACACACACACACACACACACACACACACACACACACACACACACACACACACACACACACACACACACACACACACACACACACACACACACACACACACACACACACACACACACACACACACACACACACACACACACACACACACACACACACACACACACACACACACACACACACACACACACACACACACACACACACACACACACACACACACACACACACACACACACACACACACACACACACACACACACACACTGCTTGCCCTGTCACCTTCCCTGGCTTAAACTGACACATCTGCAAAAACAGTATCCCCCAGCGCCAGTCTCCTTTGGGCATGCTTGGTGCGCTTGCGCTCAATCCAGGGTTTGTCGTGGGTGCAGCGGCGCGCTTTTTTTATTTATTTTTTATTATTTTATTTTTATACGAAAGTCTACTGTGTTCCCGAATACGTGCGAGAAGTGGTGGCGGGGCCAGGCTGCTCTGCCGACTTCAAAGGTCTCCGCGTCTACGCAGACAAAGCGCGCCATAATGCAGTAAAACCATGAGGAGGGGAGAAAGAGGGGAGAAAGAGGGGAAATGAATAATAGCGAGGAACGAGGACAATGGGTAGATGGTCGTGAGAAAAGCAGAGTGAAAGATAACATCACATTGTGGTAAGAGGGTGGGGATGCTAGTGAGGCGCTGGTCTTAACCGTTTCATAGGACGTCGGTGGCTGCTTGCCAGTTCAGGAGCAGCAGATACTTGTTGCATTTTCCTTGAAGGGTTGGAGCTGTCTGGGTTGCGGCCGTGCTGGTAGAATGGTCGCTGGTAGGCTTTCCACAAGGGAGTAATGCATTCTGGGTAGGAACCCTGGAGGCTGCTACGAATGCGCACGGGCAGCGTCGACTTGAGCTGGAGCGGGTGTCAGTGGGCAGTCTCCGTTCCTAACCTAGTGGATCGACCCCCCACTAGATGGGGGTTGGCTGGAGGTGGGAGGATGGGCTTCAGGGGCTTGTTGTTAGAAGGTAGGACAGCTTGAACGTGAACGAAAGCGCAGCAACCAGTCGGCGGTGTTTCAGGCTGGGGAGCCAGGCGCCTAGGCCGATCACCTTCAGTGCCTTTTGCTGGATTTTGTCCAGCCTGGATGTGCCTGACCCCATCCACACCAGGCAGAAGTATTCGATTATTGGCTGCACGAAGCCTTTGGAGACTGCCATGCGGCCGCTAGAGTCCAACAGGGGTGCAACCTTTCTCAGGATGTGTAGGCATTGGGCAGCCTTTGAGGCCAAGGCCCGGAGGTGGGCTGAAAAGGACAGTTGCGAGTCGAATGCTACGCCCAGAAGTTTAATTTCCTTCTCTTAAGGAGCAGTCACTCCATTGAAGAGGACTGGCGGGAACGCTGGGGGAGCCTTGCAGTGGTCGATGATGAGGGGCTGAGATTTGGATGGCTCGAAGGTGACCTTCCACATGGAACCCCATTGGGAGACGGCGTCCACTGCTTCCTGGAATTGTGCTGCAGAGTCGGATATGCTGCCGGTGGCAGAGATACACTGATACAGTGTTGTGTCATCTGCATAGGTGGCAAGCTCAGCACCAGCAGGCAAGGTGTCCTCGCAGTCATTTACGCACATGAGGAATAGCGTAGGTCCAAGGATGCTACCTTGTGGTACCCCTGCTTGGATACGGTGCAGGGAGGAATCTTGGCCGCCTACAACAGCCTGCAGGCGCCGGTTGCGCAGGTAGCTTTCCAGCCATCCGAGAAGTGGGCCGTCTAGACAGGACAAGGAAGCCTTGTGCAGCAGGCCAGCATGGCTGACTTTATCAATGGCGCCTGCTATATCTATCGCCAAAACATGGGCGACTCCTCCAAGGCCGGCTGCTCTGGACCATTCACAGTGGAGCTTGGTTAAGACGTCAGCTGTGCTCAGGTCCAAACTGAACTGAATTGTTTCGCAGAGATGACATTGTGGGATTCCAGGAAACTGGTTATCTGACGATTGACAATTGTTTCCTTCACTTTGGATATTATAGACAGCAGAGACACAGGTCTGTAGTGTTGAGGCAGAATCTTGGGTTTCTTCTTGTGAATGGGTGTGACTCTAGCTGTCTTCCAGGATGTCGGCATAGCCATGCTGTAGAAGCTAGGGGAGAACAGTTTGGAGAGTGGCGCTTTTCCATTATGCTCCATCAGTCGAGTTTCCAATGATCTCTCAGTCTCTCCGACGTAGTGTTCGCAGCACCACTTGCATCAAAAATGGTAGATCACATTATTTAGCATACACACTCGCTCACCTCCGGACTTAAAGGTCAAACACGGGCGTAAAAGGAAGTTTAGAGAAGCTGTGGAGATAAGGAACTTGGGACCACAAATTAACACCAACCCTGGCTAGGGACGTCTGTGAGCATGAGAGTTTGCTCAGTGTTACTCAATATCGCACCTAGAAAAAATATTACTGTGCGTTGAGTTACTCACTCTTGATATAGGGTTTATCGGGTGTTAGCGGCCGTCGTGAGTCCCCTCCGGGAACGGACACGATAATTAACTCTTTTTTTAAAAATATGTGGGCACTGAGGTGACATCTGACACTACCTGGTATTTTTGCTATATCATACACCACCGCACTGTACATTATCATATTATATTCTTGGATTGTGTGTGTGAGTGTGTTTGTGTGTGTGTGTGTGTGTGTGTGTGTGTGTGTGTGTGTGTGTGTGTGTGTGTGTGTGTGCGTGTGCGTGTGCGTGTGCGTGTGTGTGTGTGTGTGTGAATATTTGTGTGTGTGTTTATGTGTCTGTGTGTGTGTGTATATGTGTCTGTGTGTGTGTATCTGTGTCTGTGTGTGTATGTGTGTGTGCATGGGTGTCTTCTTTTAATAATTGTTGTTAGCATCGTACTTCTTTTAGCTATCATTATCTTTATGATTCTGTCATGGTGGGTGCGATGTAGCACATCATAGCATCACAAATTGCATGTATATGACTGCTCCTTTGCATACGTGATGAGGGCAATTTTGCCAAAATGTTGTAATAATTGATAGAGAAATGAGTTCGAGTTTGCAGTGCGAATGGGAGGAGAGCGAGTCTGCTCTGAAACCTTTTTTCCTCAGATAAATGAAGCTGCAGGAAGCCTCACCACTGCTACTATTAATTGTTCCTGTTATGCCTCATATCTAAAATTATTTATTATGACCTTGGTCTTTCACAGCAATAGTGTGTCCTGGATCTACACCTGCTCCAACACATGGCACTGTGTCCTCATCAGAGAATAGTTTTCTCTCAACTCGTCAGTACTCCTGCTTGACTGGATATAAACTAATAGGACGTAAAGACATTGTTTGCATGTCCACCGGGTTTTGGTCTTCTCCAGCCCCCAGCTGCTCACGTAAGATAATTTGCCTATTTGAGTGCCATGATTGTTTCTTTATACAGGAAAGTACTAACATGTTTCATGTTATGACTAACAACCAACCAAAGTATTATAATAGCGATATAATTCGTAATCATTTAGTTCAATTTCGTCCTAATTTGACTGAAATGTTTTTATTCTGTTTTTGTTGCTAAGTGTGGAAAGCATGATCTAGAATCATAGGGTGAGTGGACTGGTTTTATCCCGGAATGCTGCGATGCAGCGTTCGGCCCTTATTCCCAATCGGCCATGGTCGAGTCAGCAGTCTACAACTTTCAGACCAAGGCTCAACTCGAGTGACAGGAACGCGCGCAAACAGGCTGTACGTTGTAGCTTGCAGACATGGTGACCGGGTGACTGGTGTGAACATCAGCATATTACCGCTTACTCAACCATGTTCAATTGGGACTAAGGGCCGGACACCGCATCATAGCCTTCTCGGACCAAAACCGGTCGACTCAGTAGCCTACAAGACATGGACCTAGTTTAGCTCATGCATGCTTCTATAAAATCCTATCTATTAGGGCGGAGTCACCCAGTGCTGGTGGAAGTGCGCGAGTTCGATTGGGAAAGAAGGAGGAATGGAGCGTCTCAACTTTCTCGGTCCAAGACCATTCAACTCACTACCCTGTAGACTGCGAGTAGTGACATTTTGATTCTAGACCATCCTTCTCCTTCAACACTTTTTAAGTCCATAGTCGGATCAGCAATAGACACAATTCAAGAGTATGTGTTTTTTCTTCTATTTCGAGATCACGGTTGATAAACATTGGTGATGTAACAAACCATGAATTTTACGAACAAATCATCTGGCGAATACCACTACGATTATTCTATTAAACGAATGCGAAGTGTACATGTTGCAAACACACAACACAAAAGCTCAGACTGGAGTCAGAGTACAAGTTGAGTCTACCATGGTCGACCACGCGTAGTCTAAATGTAGTCATTGTCCACAACACAGTACAGTACAAAGTAAAACTATGCATTCAAGTCAAGAGATCTACAAAGTAGGGTCACTTGCGCGGTATCCAACGCACGGACTCCACCCGACTGAGAATATTCGAATTTTCGGACCCCCGACCTAGATTATCCAATCGATTATTCGTTGAAGTCCAAGAGATCGAGGAAATTCGAATAATTGTTACATCGCTTATACGCATCAAGGCTGGCCACCATCTGTATCACTTTTTGAAATTAATTCCACCGTACTCACTGAGCGCTTATTTCCTTTCAACGACTGCCAGGTTTCTTTAGGCTCTAGAATGCTATGCTGTGGCAATATCACAATCATTTTACGTACAATTCCCTACAAAAATATTCAAGACAAACCTTGGCAGCATGCCAGAAAGTGTGGCTACCCGTGAAGCCCCATTTATTTATTTCACCTTCCCGTGGCCAGAGAATATAGGCCAATATAGAGGGATTAGCCACCAGCAAACCATATGCTGCGCCTTGGGATTAGCACTGCCTAGTCTAGTGCTCCAGCTGTTGAGCTTTGCATTGGGTAGTGAAATTCGCACTGAGAGCTCGATTCGGTAGTTGCATGCATTGTGTATGCTTTGTTTTCATGACATTTAGGTAGTGGACGTTTTTCTATGTGATTCGTACGCTGCTGCATTTTGTAACGTAACTGCCACTTTGGTAATGAATGTGTAAAGTTGATTGTCTGTAGCAAAGTATTACATCCCGTGTGACGAGTCTACAGACTCACGAGTCCTCACGACAATGGTGGATTGGGGTTTTGAACTATTCAGTATTCACAAAGGTGTTTTCTATCGCAAAATTACGAATGTCCAATATGCGTGTCAGATCCATACTTGACATGATACTCAATTCATGGCACTGATGGTGAAGCACAATAAGTGACTGTCTGCATCCTCAGTTTGCATTGACAGCTATTACAATGGACTCACGAGCTCCACAATTGTACTATACCTGCAGACGTGCTCGGTGATATCCGACGCAGCGTGCAAAACTACCGCCTGCATTATTTGCTCATCACATCACTGCATTCGTACATGTGTATGTCCAGCAGCATTCGTATCACTTCCAGGACGTCAAGGGCTGTGGAATAAGACAGCAACAGGCATGGGTTATTGGTCAGATTGAATGGAGTGCAAATGCTTATTTAGCATTTCATATGACTCATCAACTGCTGTTTTTCTTTGGCCCATGCGCAGAGATCATTTGTGCTGCTTCAGCGACAGTTCCTACGAATGGTCGAGTAGCCAGTAGTGGTAATACACTGTCGGCGGTACGTCAGTTCACTTGCAATGAAGGTTATCAATTGAATGGTACCAGCTTCAGCACATGTCTGGAAAGTGGTGCATGGTCAACGGCCAATCCAGTTTGCACAAGTGAGTACACCACACAGTATGAGTCGTTTCTTTGCTGCTATCAAGAAATATTTCCAGAACTAGAGACCATAATGTTTCAAAGTTTCGGGCGCTTATATTTGACTTGATGAGAAGTGCTGCATGAAATGCAAGGACATTTGTGTGGGGGCATTTGAATTTTTCTGAAAGAAGGAAGACACTAATCGACCAAGCTGATGTAATCAACAGCATGCATCTAACTCAAGAGAGCATTATGTTGTGATTGTAAGTTCTTCTCACCAGACATCAGATCGACTGCCCAACCTGCTGGCAAGAAAGTTAACGAACAATAATACTGGCCCAGCACAGTGAGAGATACTAGCAACAATATATGTTTATAGAAAGCTTTTCACTCTAAGTATTCGAGCATCAGGATAAAATGTGTATACAGAACATGTGCACAGATCAGTCCGGGTAGGGGAAAGTTAAATTCCTACATCTGAATTTCAAGCTCTAGGCATTTCTTGGGCGACTGGAGGGAGTTACTTCAAGATCACTCCGACAGCAAAATCAATAGTTGTGAATTTGTTCAGTTAGTAGTGTACCTGAGCACACACACACACACACACACACACACACACACACACACACACACACACATGAACACATGAACACACTTTATGTCTATCTCTCTATTTCTTTTAAAAATCGACGAGGAGACAATACGAACTTAGAGTTTGTATCCCTGGTGATGGTTTGGCCTGGAGAGCAGTATATAAGTGGTGCTTTTCAGGCACAATCTTCCTCAGCCTACTCAAGCTCAACTGATGAGGGGTGAATTCCCCGAAACACTGTGTATTGAGCAGGGAGTGGTGCTTTCTTTCAGGTTTGCCGAGCGGAAGGTGCGACGTGCTCCTGGTGTGCCCCGGATGGCAGTCGTGAGTCAGTCAAGTGTCAAGTTCGGCAAGAAGCGTGTGCTCCTCGTTGGAGCAACCAACTTCATGAGGAGACAATTGTTGTAAAATGGCACTAAATAAGATATATTGTGCACTCATAACAACAGCAAAAATGAAGAAAGTCAAGTTCCATAACGTTTTCTTGTGACTGTCTTCAGTGGACCGCCGTCATATAAAAAATAATAACTAAAACAAACACTTATATACATGAAGCTAATATGGTTTCAGGTAGAAATACAGCAGCTAACAAGTACAAAAAGCGAAGAAAAAAAACGAAAAAAACGTTGTATCACTCACATTCTTCAAGTAATATACACGCACCATTACATTCATTCACTCAGTATCACATTCATCTGCCACTACCTTTCTCACATAAACTATATTCACACATTGCAAAAGTGCAAACGTCGCTTTTTGTACTTGTTAGCTGCTGTATTTCTACCTGAAACCATATTAGCTTCATGTATATAAGTGTGTTTTAGTTATTACATTTTTATGTGACGACGTTCCACTGATGACAGTCACAAGAAAACGTTATGGAACTTGACTTTCTTCACTTGTTGCTGTTGTTATGAGTGCACAATTTATCTTATTTATTGCCAATCTCTATTTCTTCCTCTCTAAACATTACTATTTCACTGGAAATGTATTTCCAAATTCTGCCAATGGTGTTGGAGCCGTTACCTGGTGTCAAGATTACTATAGATAGAATTGGTTAGCAACTTGTTTGACTTTATTGCATCTCTTTCATAGAAATATTGTGCCGCGGATCAACACCGCCACCAGAAAACGGCACTGTGTCGAGCTCATCCCAAACCTATTTTTCGGTCCGTCGTTACGCCTGTATGACTGGATACAAACTAAATGGAAGTTCGCACACTGTTTGTATGTCCGATGGACAATGGTCGGGCAGTACACCCACATGCTCACGTAAGTGCTTCAACCAATGTTTCAAGAATGAAGTGATCCTCCCTGATAATGTTTCATTCCTCTGGAGCCAAGACCCATTTCATTGAGGTTGTCATGAGGTCTCTGATTTGTTGACAGTGTTGAGCAGTCTTCTGGCATAGGAGCACTTTCTTAATTACATGGATGTGACCTCATTGCTATTTATTTATTTATTTATTTCATTTTCCCGTGGCCAGGGAGCTATGGTCAATCAGAGGGAAATACGAATAATGAATATTGTACTGCCTTAAAAAATACACCTGTTACACAAGTAAGGTGGAACATTATTATGTCATGACTCATAGTTGGGTGGATATTAGTCTACTGATGATTGTTTGACTAGGCATGAAACTCGGGAGAGAGTCTGAATATTTATATAAATCTTACCTGGACCTAAATAATCACACCCTGCAAGAATAAGAGTCATCAGACCCCCCCCCCCTCTCCCCTCCATCCAACCCCCATGCCTGAATTAAATTTTCTTTTTCTCTTATTGGCCAGAGGCCATCATGAGAGTAAAAGATTGCATACACCCTGCCATAGGTATTGAACACAGGGACGTGGCCTTTGTTAATACTCAAGTAAGTAACTATTGTGTTTGACTCCATGGCGTGACTTCTGCAGGAATATTGTGTGTCGAATCAACGCCACCTCCAGAAAACGGAACTGTGTCTAATTCATCCAATACCTATTTCTCTGTTCGCCGTTATAGTTGTATGATTGGATACGAGCTGAGTGGAAGTTCACACACTGTTTGCATGTCCAATGGGCAATGGTCGGGCAGTGCACCCATATGCTCAGGTAAGTGCTTCATCCATTGGTTTCCAGAATGATTATAGCTCCATTTTGTTTCATTTATTATATTTTTCAATTTTTCATTTCTCAGGTGTCAAAACGGGACATAATTATGTACGGTGTAACATGAAATTTCCGGACCGAATTTATTTTCGTACGATTTCGTACAAGGCCTATTTTGTACTAAAATTAATTCCGTACTCAAATTTGTTCATGTAAATTATGACCGCTGTGTACATTATGTACATCCTGAACTGACTCCCGTTCAGGACTAGTTCATATGCCTAGTGGCGCAGTCAATATCATAGTACAGCGAGCTAGCTAGCCATAACACGCATGCTATGTGCCTTGGCGCGCACGTACTGCATGCGACGACGTGCACTTAACATGCACCACTACACGAAAATAAAATCCGTCCGAAAGGTCGAAAAATATTAACGTCCGAAAATGTCCAGCTATACAGTAACTGGACTTGAGGTCTCTGTGCATTTGAAATCATTGTGAAGCTCCTACTCTACACAACGTCTCAACCTTGTATGGACTTCTATTGTCATGAGCAATTCTTCAATTAAACAAGCGTTTCGGGGAAAGCAGTACTATTCTAGCTGTTAACAACGAGCAAAGAGAAAAGGACCAATAAGTTACTAGTTATGATTAACTGTCCACCAAGGTAACGAGATAATATACAATCCGCTAGTGCCACAAAAAGGCACAAAACTGACAAGGATATTGAGACATTTGACGACCTGACATATTTGAAAGGCTGAGGTGCGGAAAGTTCCAATGAGGGGAAGGGATGTGACATGAAGATGTGCACGAGGTATTTCCCACGGCAACAAATAATGTCGTTGATCCTCCCAAGTTGAGTGGTCTGTTGCCTTGCGTTTTCGAGTTGTAGTTAAACCGCTTTGTCCAATAGTCTTACTTTTCTGCTCATCATCATCCCATAGCGTTGCCGAGGGACATAGCTCATGCACATCTTCGTGGCGCATGCCTTCCCTACATTGGAGGTTTCTGCATCTGAGCGTTCCAAGTTGGAAGGTTGTTGGTTCGCGCTTCGTAGATGTGTTTCAGCTAGGTGTTAGGTCGTTGAATGTCTCAGTATCCTTGTTAGTTTTGTGCTTTGTTGTCGAACTAGCTTACTGTCTAGTATCGCGTTACCTTGGTGGACTGTTAGTCATAACTAGTAACTTATACCATTAAGGGCAGAGCCCACACGCTCTCTTCATTGACACTGCAAAAGACAAACTCATTTCCCAATACTTATCCCAGCGTTTCGGCAAATTGCCTTCATCAGGTTCACAATGATGTGCAAGCTCCCAAACCAGCATTGATAAAGGTCAACTCCCCTGTCAGTAAGAGGTAGTACCTTATGGGTCCTTTTCTCTTTACATATATCTATTGGCTCAACATAGGAGTTCTTCTGAACAACAAGGACTACAAATTACACTGTAAGCATGTCCTAAATGTACAAGTAAAGTGCAAAACAATGATCGCAAGGCACACAACGAAAGGGAAAGAGAGGATTTTTGGATGAATGTGACAAGAAGCCCTCTGAACAAATCCTCTATGTCCCTTGTCTTGTGTGCCTTGCGATTATCGTTTCAAATTTTACACTTACAGGTCAACCTTTAGGAAACGCTTACTTGGTCCGCTTCAGCAATATTGTCGCTTATCTTTCAGCTTTGGTTTTATGTCACCAATGCTCACTTGGCAGCCCATTTCATCCCAATTTTGGTTAGTAAGTCAGTTTACTATTACCTGAAAGGTCTAGCTAGAGTCGAGTGGATTTCAAGAGCGACGGGTGGGTGATTCCGATTGATACAGCGGCACATGAAAATTATCTTGTCACACTACGCAGAAAAGAGCAGCTCGACGCAAGAGAAGGTAATTGGCTACTCGAAATCAGTTCCACTTTGCAAAATGACAGAGATTGCTCACCTCAGGGATCGCTTGCCAAGCTGAGATCGCAGTTCCCTCACCTCCCGCTCAACGCTCGGAGTATCCAGCGCATCGTGGAGATTTGCAAGTACTGTACACGTTGTCGTCATTCAAAATACATCTTGCAAAGAAAGGCCACTGATTTGAACCACACAGGCAGTCGTACTGCTCACGCTATAGAGAAGGCGACTGTCACGGTCGACCACCCTTTAGAAAATAGCCAGGCAGCGAGAGGAAGAGAGATGAGCTTGCGAAAGCGAGAGTGTCGATCCCAAGCTAAAAATATTTGTCACCAGTGCCGAGAGAAGCGACGAGGAGGACCAAAAACAAAGAATTAGCCCTTTGATGGAGAGTTACTCGTATCCATATGTCCTTTTCCTTTCTACATTTATTTATGGCTCAACATCCGAGTTTCATATTAGCCCTTCCTTGGACAATACATTCCTCATGGCCAGTTGTCATTCTGTACCTTATCTTCCATCATACATATATACGTTTTATCATCACCAGATTGATGACCAAAGTCTAAGTTCAAACCGTCGAACGATAAGCGACAATATTGCTGATGCGGACCAAGAACAGTACAATTAGTCATCCTTGTTGTTATTATTAATTCTTTAGTTGTACCACTGTTACACCTATGTACGTGTTGTGTGCAGAGATCATCTGTACTGATCAAGTGACAGCACCGACTGATGGTCAAGTAACCAATGGTGGCAATACATTGTCAGTAGTACGCCAGTTCTCTTGCATGGAAGGTTATCAACTGAGTGGCGAAAGCTACACACGATGTCAGGAGAATGGATCCTGGTCCACTGCCAAGCCAGTGTGCACACGTAAGTACCCCATTTTGCGGCGTATAAGGCTCAAAATTTACCGGCAAAATGTTGGAGCAGCTTATACTCCGATGATGAAATTTCCTGCGATAAATAGGGTAAATTTATAGAAAAGAGAAGAGACAAAGGAACGACAAGTTATGCTATATTGTCCACTAACTCTACCAGTTACTAAACAATCAGCTCATGCGATAAAATTGACGACACTGACCGACGGTACTGACGTTCTACCACTAACTGTCTCTCAGCTCAAGCACATCTCTGATGCGCAATCCAACAGCCAACTTGGAAGGTTCTGAGTTATATGATAACATAGAGGAGGGGAAGGTGAGCGCAACCAAGACAAGCACGAGCTGAAAGTCTCAGCTGTGAAAGACGTTGTCGGATGTACATGCATGTCGGTGACGATACTGACAAGATCCTTGGACAAGACGTGCTAGAGCTCGTAGTCAGTTAGTTGTAGAACATCAGTACCGTCGGTTAGTGTCGTGCAATGTTATCGCATGAGCAGATAGTTTAGTAACTGGTGGTGTTAGTGGACATTACACTGTAACGTTAGATCGTAACTTGTAGTTCCTTGGTATATTTCCATTTCTTTAAATTTATCCTTGACTCTCTATCTGAGTCCATAAATAGGGTGGACGTCTGCATTACGGAACAAGAATGGTAGGGGTGCGGCTCATACTCCTGAAAATGTGCTAAGCTAGCAGCAGTTGGCGCTGTGTAAGATAGGGGCACCGTATGTCAGTTCTGAATGCTGTGTGTTTCCTGCTCTAGTAGTTTTACTCCTTAGCAGCGCCTTTCAATTTTGGATTGACTAATACCGCCATAATCGCCTTCTAAGTTCCAACCTTAACCTAGGTTGTGAAAACCTACAAATATCCGCAACACTCATTGCAATCGAAAAGCAATAAAGAGGATAACCTTGTTCCGTTGTAAACTTGTATTGTTTTTGCTTGGTTCTTTTCAAACAGAAATAATCTGTCCCCAGCCAACAATTGATCCAGACTACGGCAGCGTCTCCATTTCATTGAACACCTATCGTTCAGTTCGCCAGTACTCCTGTGGGGCTGGATATTCGCTGAATGGCAGTACGGACACCGTGTGCATGGCCAACGCTCAATGGTCTGCAAGTACACCCACATGCCAAGGTAAGACGATCCGCCAAACATATCATACAGATACATCCATGAAGTGAAAGCACTAGCAATTTACTTGTTTCAACTTGGATGGAGAGCCAGGGATTATTCAAAAAATGTAAAAAAGGATCAAGATCCAAGATGTCCTACAGCTGTTAGCCAGGTAGTTGTAGAACGTCAGTACCGTCGGTCAGTGTCGTGCAATGTTATCGCATGACCTGATTGTTTAGTAACTGGTGGTGTTAGCGGACATTATACTGTAACTTGTAGTTCCTTGCTCCTTTTTACTTTTTAAAGGCTTTTCTTGTTACCGTATTTTTCCTGTTGTAAGTCGTCCTTTTACGACTAAAATTAGAAGGAGAAAGGGTGATGTCGACTTACAACCGGGATTCGACTTATAACCGGGAACTATCAGTATCTTGCAAAAACATGACCTGCACTGCATGTACGAGTGCACCGTGTGTAAACATTTGTGCAAGTTTATTAGCCTTTTTTTTTTTTCAAGGATTGGGACGTTATACCCTCCAGTAAGGAATGTTTACATGATTTGTTGATGTGTTAGTAGCAGGGAATCGTTAATAGTGCTTCATTGGGAGGAAACTTTAAAGAGCAGAATTGAGACCTCCGGATACGGGGTTGACCTATAACCGGGGGTCGACTTACAACTGGTAAAATACAGTATGACAAACAATGGACAGGGAAGTGTTAGTTATATCTTGTAACTTATTGCTCCTTTCTCTTTACATGAATTGTTTTTACTATTGGCTCAAAATCGGAGTTATATTTGATTCATCTGTGTAATTTTGATTCCTAAAGCATTTTTAGTCTTTTGTGACACAACCCATAGGGGTTGTGAGTATTTGCTGTTTAGGTTCGACAAGTCTGGAAGCGAGCCCATCATATCATCAAGTTCAATATCAGGCCGACAATGTTGTTGGTCTACATCAGATTTTTCTGTACATGCATGTGTGCCTTAATTTGTGTTTCGTGTGTGTATGCGTGTGTTTCTGTCTTTCATGTGTGTGTGTGTGTGTGTGTGTGTGTGTGTGTGTGTGTGTGTGTATGTGTGTGTGTGTGTGTGTGTGTGTGTGTGTGTGTGCCTGTCTTTGTGTTTGCATTCACATTGTGTTGCCGTATGCCGTTGTGTTATGTACGCCCACGGCTATGCCGGTATGATATTTGATGGCTCAGAGTTGCCCAGATGCAAGATTCCACATGTCAGCAATGCTGTCGTGTCAGATGGCACAAATTGGGAGAACAGCGTCCGCAACATCTCATGTAATGAAGGGTTTGAGTTGGCAGGCAACTCGGTAGTCGTCTGCCTAGCAAGTGGGTTCTGGTCTAGCATACCCATTTGCAACCGTAAGTACCTAATCAGTTCATGATACAGGTCCTCCCTTGTTAGTAGATGATCTCTGGGCCAGCGAAAAATTCATCTTATAACGAGACTAATCTTGTAGCAGGACTTGCAGCCAAAGGCCCTACTTCGTACTTACCGGGACTACCCTCGATACAACATAAATTATCGATGCTTCAACTCGTTATAAGATAATTGAAAGTCTCCAACATAACTCTTCCTTGGATGCAAAGGATCGCCCATATCCACGAATACATAGACATAATACGTTTCCTCTTTCTGCTTTATCCTACTTGTTTTGGCCTTGGTCCTGCATGGTCAATATTATCTTATACTGAGGGTTTGACACTCCAGGGACCTGGGCAAAGGGTCGTTATAACGTATTTTATGTACTAATGGATTATGTTGTAACCGGACCTGTAAACAGTTGTATAGACCACGTTTTGCCAGGGATTTCAGATTTCTATTTACTAACGGGGTTGATGTACTAACCGGACTCGTTACAATGAGAGAGGACCTGTATAAGAAAGATACAATTTGTTATACTCTGCACCACAATCATCAGGACTCAATTAGTCGATTTTTGCTATTTTGTCGCTAACCTGATCACTTAGTTCCTTATTTACCCATACTGTTCGGTTCTATTTGCTTGTAACTCACTTGAAGAGATTGCACGAAATATTGTTTTTGAAAATGTTATTGAGTCCTGATGATGGTGGCAAAGAGCATTACATTTGTATTTTTTGGATACAGCAATCAGTACAGGAATGGGTTTGCTCCCACACTGGAGCTCGCGCTATTCCGCCGACGACTTGACCCTTGACTGACTCACGATGCCATCTAGACAACACGAGAAGTCCATCGAACCTTCGACTCGGCAAACCTGCAAGAAAGCACCGCTCCCTGCTCAATACACAGTGTTTCGGGGAATTCATACCTCATCAGTTGAGCTTGAGTAGGCTGAGGAAGATTGTGTCTGAAGAGCACCACATATAATTATAGTGCTGTCCACGCACAAACAACACCAGGGATACAAACTTACAGAGACACTCCGTTTCCAGCGCTGCAAACACCTCGTGAACACCAGACAGCAGCGTGAGTCAGTTATCAGTCCTGGACGGTGAGAACAGACGTAGAGGACCCACGGTCATTCACAACGCTGTCACCTCCAAACCAGCTAGTCGCACGCCCGCGCCGGGCACAACAGTACGAAGTAGAGTTACTCAAGCTCAACTGATGAGGGGTGAATTCCCCGAAACACTGTGTATTGAGCAGGGAGTGGTGCTTTCTTGCAGGTTTGCCGACTCGAAGGTTCGATGGACTTCTCGTGTTCTCTGGATGGCAGTCGTGAGTCAGTCAAGTGTTAAGTCGTCGGCGGAATAGCGCGAGCTCCAGTGTGGGAGCAAACCCATTCATTAAAAAATCATCGCCGAAGTCGCAACCCCTATTTCGCAATCAGTACTTTGCAAAATTGTGATGATTCCGGATAGAGAACAAAATGATGGCCAATATTTTACCCAGTTCAGAATTCATTAGCCGGGATAGCAGCAACCAGCCATCCAGGTTCATCCAATTTGGGCAGTATGATTCTCTGGTTTCTGCACACTAGGATGAAATGCTCACCCAGATAACACATACCGTCGAAATTAACCTACGGGATAATGTCTTAGAACACCGAAGATTGTTTCTCATACACCCAGGTCGTCAAGATTCTTGAACAACTTGAATTCTCCCGCCACTCTACTATGTGATGGCACGGTATACTCGTGGCTGCTGTTATGGTGCAGGAACGCCACACTACCTGTATGAACTCGAAGGATCAGGGTGATTGCAAAAAGCATGAAACTCAGAGCAGTGGGAAAATAGCCCTGATTGCCCTTTTTGTTCTTTGTGATGTTCAAAGTAGACAAAAAGTAGTCATTTGCGGTACACAGTATCAATTCTGCAGTCATGACTCGAAATTGTTGTGCTATCAGCGCTGACATACACACGTCTTCCTTCTACCTTGTTTGTTCAGGAATTGTGGTGTGCAAAGACCCGCTGGTCGCCAATGGAAACGTGTCGCAAGGACAGAACAACGTTGGCAGCTCAAGAAGAGTGATGTGCAATGCTCCCTTTGAGTTACAAAGTGATAAGACGATCGTGTGCACGTCCGATGGCACTTGGTCAAGCAATCCTATGTGTAATGGTGAGTGTGAGAGCCTGAATTTGAGAGAATAGTTGGGAAGATCCTCCAAAACTGTTCGAACCGATATTTATTCGGTTTTTCAAAGAAATCAGTGATGGGAGTTCAAACGACGATATCCAGATTTCCCACATCACCTAAGGGTTTTTTGGCTGTTTGGATCCATTCTCGATCATTTGTTACTCTTGTTTTGTCATTGCCGCTATTATTTTCTTACACGTTTTCTTGTCCTTGTTTTTCTGTTATGCCCTGAACAGCGACAGTAGCTACATCAGCGCCATCGTTTTTCAGCCAGAGTGCCAGTATACCTTTGATAACCCTCATCGGTGGCCTGGGCGTCCTGTTTGCCATCACAGTTACCACAACCATCCTGAAGCGTAGACGCTCGTCTGCTGTGGCTATCACCTTAGATCACAAGCACGCTGGCAAGCGCGCTGGCAAGAAAACCCGAAGCATGTCTCATTCGGATTTGTTCAAGCGAGCTACTTCACTGGACTTATACGGCCAGCAAGGGCGCAAGTCAAGCTCTGCACCGATTGATGCTAACAAAGACGAGTATTCAACTCCGATAGACGGCCATGCGATCGATACCTTCAAGGGCAATGGTAATGCACCTTCAGAGCTCACGTCTAAGGCCAATGGTGATGCACCTTCAAAACTCACGTCTAAAGCATCCTGCTCCCCTCCGGCAGAGGAATATGACCTGTACGCCAGTTTAAGCAAAGGGCCCACTCCAGTACCCGAGATCAACACGGAAGCCAGCTACTCGTGCACAGTAGGTGACTTACAGGGACAAGATGAGTACTCTGCCCCGATAGATGGCAATGCCCCGGAAAAACACACTTCGAAAGCAAGTTCCTCCCAACCGCCGGAGGAATATGACCTGTACGCCAGTCTTAGCAAAGGGCCCACTCCAGTGCCTGAGAATGACACGGATGCCAACTACTCATGCACAGCAGGTGGCCCACAGGGACATGCCACTAGTCTCACTTTGCCAACCTTCCTTAGGCCCTCTACTTCCCCTGATCTGTATGAAACTCTCACACGAGATGAGAGCCCAGCGCCTGACAGCGATATGTATAGCACATATTCAGTGTCATCCGGTATGGTGATATCGGCCGGACCCAAGCGCACTGATGACGCATCCACCGAAGCCAAAATCCAACCTTCACCCCAGCCAACAAAAGAGATGGAATTGTACGCTACTCCGAGAAAGGAGCACAGCCTAATGCCTGAGAACGAAGGTAACAAGGATATATGCTCATCTCCTTTATACGCTCGTGCAGGCAGTGAGGCCAGGGGGCCTCGCCCGGAATCCTCGGATTACATTGGCCCGGTCTCGCCCAACCCAAATCTCGACTTGTACGCAACTCCCAACAAAGAACAGAGCCGTGTGGTTGGGGGCAGTCAGAACACCATCTACTCGTCTCCCATGCCGGTGACGGCGGATAATGCTCACACAAGCAGTGACGGTGTACACACTGGACCCACTGGTTAACTTTCATACTTTGATACCTCTGATATTTTTGTGCAACTTGAAACTTTGGAAATCTTGAATGCTTGATCGACATGTATATTTAGGTGGAGTAGGATGGGATTTTGCAGTAATAAGCAACAGTTTTTGAGTTAAAATAGAGACAATCAAAAGACCGATTGTTTTAGCAGTGAAGCTAAACCATGTGTATCATATATTCTATTTTTGCAATGCTGTTGGTTTGATGCCTTCTATTCAGGTGTTTCCACCCTTATGACATAAGAGTGAGAAACCCCTATATTATCGAGTATTTTCCTAAACGGTTACCCATACTTAGAACCCCACCAAAGAGGACGGATAGGTTCAAGCCTGTTTCATTATTATCGTGATTTCAACCCATTTTGAGCCATCTTCAATAGACATAGGTACATTAGTTTCTCTCCTCGCGCTGTTATCGCTATTATTCTGCATGTACCATTGTGACAATGGTTAAGAATGAAGTTGACAGAGGTCAACCTATGATTGAAACACGTTTTTGTGTTCAGGCCACGTAAAAAAACACTGTTTCACCAATGCGTGTGTCGATAGCCATGATTACAGCGCACTGAGGACTTCACATTGGCCCCAAAATTACAATGATTCGATGGAGCGGCGTCTCTCAATTTGCTATGTGGCCGGCTGATTCTATGCAGAGGTCAAGCTCCCTTCCCACCTTGTCACTTGGAGCCCTTCGAACCTTTCTCTGGGAAACCTTCAAACTGCAACACCTCCCTACTTCACATTCTTCTATATTCGAGGCCAGTCACCTCTCGTCAGCACATTGTGAGCTAATGAGAATACAAATGAATATTTGCTCCTTGGTCACTTCATTTACACATCCTATTAAAGCCTTTTAGGCATCACAAGGGATACAAGCTACAGTTGTGCCACGTGTCCAGCATGACAAACACTTCATAAGCCAATGTCCGCAATTTTTAATAGTAAATGACTAAATGCTCATAAAATGTCTTCTGGACATGGGTTCTTTGAGAAACAAATGTTGCGAACCCTGTTTACAGAGAAAGTGACATGTAGTAAGGAGTACAGGCTCGCAAGTTCAAAGCACATGCCACCATGATAGGACAACATAAAGCCCAGACCAATAGTATTCAACAACACCCGGGAAAGAGTATGTAATCTTAGGGCCCAGCCATGCAAAGGGGATGGGTTCATATCCCAAAAAGCACTGTGGGCGAGAGGAAAGGGATAAGAATGGATATAAATCAGACGAAAATCAACACTTGAACAGGCGGCGAGGTGACAACAATTTTCAGATGGCAAAGAACAGAGTCAGCTGAAGCGACATGTTACGACGGTTTTATTGGAATGTAAAGTGATGATGGACAACGAAATAGCTGTGATAGAACTGTAATGTAAACAATCGACGAGGAGACAGTAGTCGTAAAATGGCAATATATAAGATAAATTGTGCACTCATAACAACAGCAAAAATAAGAAAGTCAAGTTCCATAATGTTTTCTTGTGACTGTCATCAGTGAAACGCCGTCACATAAAAATATAATAACTGAGACACACACTTACATGTATATACATTCAAATAATACACACGCACTATTACATTCATTCACACAGTATCACATTCATCTGCCACTACCTTTCTCACATACACTATATTCACACATTGCAAAGGTGCAAACTTCGCTTTTTGTACTTGTTAGCTGCTGTATTTCTACCTGAAACCATATTAGCTACATGTATATAAGTGTGTGTTTTAGTTATTACATTTTTATGTGACAGCGTTCCACTGATGACAGTCACAAGAAAACGTTATGGAACTTGACTTTGAAACTCGGATGTTGAGCCATAAATAAATGTGGAAAGGAAAAGGACATATATATATACGAGTTAGGAGTAACTCTCCATCACTGTAACTGGATACTATATACAGTCAGAAAGTGCAATAACTAGGCACAAAACTGACAAGTTGGAAGGCTGTCGGTTAGCGCTACGGAGATGTGTCGAAGCTAGGTGTCAGGACGTCGAATGTCTCAGTACTCTGCCAGTTTTGTGCACTTTCTGACTGTATATTATAGTATCCAGTTACAGTGATGGAGAGTTACTCCTAACTCGTATATATATGCCCTTTTCCTTTCCGAACTTGACTTTCTTCATTTTAGCTGTTGAACTGTAATGTGAAAAACATTAATAGGAACGATGAAAAAGATATGTGAACATGCATCGAACTAGCTTTCGCACAATGCTCATCAGGAAGCATCGTTGTACTAATTAACAAAATTATAGTTCCATCACAGTTACATTTCAATAAAACCTTCGTAACATGTCGCTTCAGCTGATTCCGTTCATTGCCATCTTAAAATCAACACTCGTAACCATAAATGAAAGGGTGAACACAAGCAAATGAATGGAAGGGAACTGATCAACGCACATTGACCTGTCACTGAGTTTTGTTCGTAAAGGAGGTTTCTACTCGGAAAAGCTAATTTTAGGAAAGAGCTCCTGTCAGCTTTTCCATTATTTAGTTTACGTTTTGGCATCCCACCTCAAGTCAGCACACCTTTCGTAAATGAACGACTCAACATATGCAATTATATAGAAGCGAAGTGGACAACCTACCTGTCGTTGAGCAATAACAAGGTCTCAGAAAGGTCTCAGCAGCACTAAGCCGAAATACGCCAGGAGACGAAATATCCGAAAGGGCTCTTTCAAGAATCAGTTCCAAAGAAGGAAGTTCCTCGTGCATCCACATCCGCATCCATCAACAAAAGGACTGCATTGGAAAGGCTGCCTGTCTGAAGCCTTTCCATACTGGTACTCGATGTTCCAGTTTTGTGACACGAGAATGGCACGAGAATTAGTGTACCGCTGAGTGTACCGCTATACACTTGGTTGACACTTTGTCGACACATTGTTGATACTTTGTTGACACGTGACCCCGTCAGCGATCTGCTTTGTCCCAATGCAGAAGTCGACGAAGACGAACGAGGAGGCGCCTTTCGGTACCCCTGACGGGAAGGAGAACTGCAGACGTCGAACGAGGAGGCCCCTTTCCGTACCCCGTACCGCAAAGTGCCATTGATGAATGTCTTCTGCACCTGGAACGCCCCGTAAACGCTGTCGCATAGGCGGACTGAATGCACAGGGCAAAAAGAATTGCTGCAAAGACGTCCGCTCTAGGCCTTTGGAGACATCCTGGGAACTCCTTTCGGCACCCCCGTACCGCAAAGTGCCATTGATGATCGATGAATGTCTTCTGCAAGTGGAACGACCCCGTAAACGCTGTCGCGTCGGCGGGCTGAATGCGCAGGACGAAAAATATTGCTGCAGAGACGTCCGTTCTAGGCCTTTGGAGACATGGTGCGAACTCCTTCCGGTACCCCCGTACCGCAAAGTGCCATTGATGAATGTCTTCTGCAACTGGATCATGGAACGGCCCCGTAAACGCTGTCCCGTCCACCGACGAAAAATATTGCTGCAAAGACGTCCGCTCTAGGCCTTTGGAGGCATCGTGCGAACTCCTTCCGGTACCCCCGTCCCGAAAAGTGGCATTGAGAAATTAATGAGAATGCACTGACCTGACGCCGTGACGGGGAGGAGAACGGCAGAAGTGGACGCAGGTGAACGAGGAGGAATCTGGACGAGCGAGCAATGGCAGGACTGTAAGTAATAGCTCAATTAGAAATGAGAACTTGGCATTCATGGCACTTGCCACTGCATATTTCTTGTCCACTCACAATGTCTTTCCTCTGCCCCTGTGTGCCCACGGACCTGTTGCTGCACTGGCCCGATGAATCGAATGTCTTCTGCAACTGGAACGGGCCCGTAAACTCTGTCGCGTCGGCGGACTGAATACGCAGGACGAAAAACATTGCTGCGAAGACGTCCCCTCTAGGCGACGGTAAGGCATCCCTTGATATGTTGCCAGTGTGTGCCAGGGTATCGCGAGATGGTGAATGAGGAATGATGAAGGGTACGGTTAGGTGGGACGGTATACCTGTTATCATTCAACACGTTATCAGGTCGACAGCGCATTGTACTAACTCTATTCTTGTAGTTCGTTACGTTTAAGGTGTATGTGTATATCTTGCCAATAGTTAATGGTGTACAGTCGCACGCTACAGACGCCATGTTCATTTGCAGGGTTTGCAAACTGTACGTGAAGAAAGACAGCATGCCGCCATCTTGCGTTCTCAATGACTTGAACCTTCACCCTGTACCCCAGTGCTTGTCGCGACTAAACTCATTCGAAAAATTACTCATTCAAAAAGTGGAACCCTTCCAGATAAGTTACAAGCTAGACACAAAGCATGGCAGTCGACCGCATTCAAAGCGAGTGAGGTGCCAAGAACAAAATACTCCACCTTCCATTGCCAATTGACGGCAACCCGCGTCTCATGCATGACTTGTGTGCTGACAATACAAACATCATAGTGAACTGTGTACCAACCAGTGCGAAGATTGTCTGGAAGCACCTTGTCAGGCCGAAGGTTGTCGTCGCAGCCTTGCAGTGGTTAGCTGAGGAGACGAGACGAAAGATTCATGAATTGCTTGCACATTTGTACCAGTTGTACCGGCTATGCGAGTGCCATGGTAACAAACGCATTCCTATTGAGCTTTGAGACACATGTCAGGAGGGCGTTGTTGCATCACTGACCTCTTGCAGTCATTCCGTGAATGATATTTTGCGCGAGTTTGCATCGCACGCAGCGTCGCAGATCGTGTCAAATTACGCATCACACTGCAAAATTGCTCCTCATACAAGTGGATTTCATTGCACTTCTCAGTTTGGGAAATGCTCAAATATGATAATTCTGCGTGTGAGTGCACTAGCCCTGAACATACAATCATCAGTCATGTAGGTGACCCGTTTGTGCGGGTGTCTCATAGCCTACCTCACGACCTTCTGCTTTCTTTCTGCATCACTTGTATCTTGCAGGTATATCACCCTGTGACGACCACATTGAAGTCTGAATTTGAAGTGTGAAGATGCTTCAGCAACCACACCATACTTTTCCATTGCTTTCATTGTGCTTCTACTGTGCATGTGTGTAAGTTGTGGGGTATACTTGTGATGACATTGTGTGCTGGCGACACGGTCAGATTTTGTCCATGCGTGTAACGTACACCTGCATGTTATGCATTGAAAAGGATCTGCCACTTACGATCCTGGGACGAGTATCAGGTCAGCTTTGTCTTGTGTGGGCTGTACCAGATTGCTGTTCACTTCTCTATCTGTGGGATATGTGACTTTCTGCAAGTTTCTGGTGTATGGTGGCCACTTCCTTGCTTGTCACTTTGTATGATATTACATTCTGTATTCGCTGCTTCCATGGCGTGGTCTGCAAACTGCAATCCCAAGTTGAGCAAATGTCATGTTTGCTATGTTGTTCTTTGGCCGTCAGCTTGTCTACACATTGTACAGTCAACTTTGCGTATAACGACACTCGGCGGGGCATCAGAAAAGTGTCCTTATTCGCGAAGTGTCGTTATACCAGAAGTCCCATCATATGATTGTATTACAGTTGGATGGGACTTTGCTCTGGGCATGGAAATTCTGTCGTTATTCGCGAATTGTCATTATATCCGCAGTCGTTATTAGCTAAGTTGACTGTAGTTGAATTATTTTGTTTCACAACTGACTTTCTCAAATACGGTGGCCACTGCTTTGCATGGAATTATAATTGGCCCAGTATCTGCGGAAATGGACCTTAGGGTGATTTTTCACAAAATGACTTTTTTTTGCTGTTGTCATCTATAGGTATCTAGTGATCACATGCCAAAATATTAGACCGAACAAAGCAATATTGGTGACCCAGAAGCTTCTCAAACAAGGATAGGTACATATCAGGAAATACACAATCTGCGGACAGCATGCTATATCAGGAAATACAACAATTTGTCACAGTGTTTTCCACATCAGAATACGATGTGTGACAGTGAAATAAATAAAAAATAGACAATGTAATAAATCATCCATCCAGTTTTTGTTGTGAAACAACTCTTGGGCAACCTCTGGCATAGAGCATGGATGGCCTTGATCCTCATCACTGCATACCAATGAAAACTGTTTGAACGCCATCCCAAGTCTGCTGAAAATCCACAGAAGTGCAGAACAGGAGGGAGGGTGGCTACAACTACACCTGGAGTCCAAATCTGTACATCCCACAGGGAATATGACACAGGCACAACTTTCTAACACCCCACACTTCATCTCATACACGATTTAGAGGTAGTCCATCACTGCTGCACCTCTGTGAAATTTGAGCTCTGTGGGAACTGGCGGCATGCGCGTCAGTGCGCCATGATTCCAGCACTGCGCGCAGAGAGTTCGTAGCTCATCAATCAATGTTCAGCTCTTGCCCCGTCCAAGGGGTTTGGTGTTCACCACGGAGTCCAGTGTGGGAGCCTGGAAAATTTCAGATCATGTCACTAGCGGCAGCGCTCTTTCGTCCTGACTCGAGTTGATCCAGGGCGTTTCAGTTCGTCTACCTCTGTTGCCGTCGCCTCACTAGTTTCTCCTCGTTGAGTATTTCTCCTGAGCGGAGCTGTACTAAATTCAGAAGGGCCCTACAAGGATTTTCAGATGTCAGAAAGTACTTTTGCCAGCAGAGAGCTCCTTTGGCGGAGCGCCCAAGTCAAGTTGAAATTCTCGTCGCTAAATAGGAATTGCGCGTCGACAAAAACATCTTCTGGAAACTGTCGTCGTTCTCTATCAGACGCGACGATTCCTGCCTAGGAAATCCAATGACTTCTGGCAGAGCCGGACGGCAACTAGCTGGCCATCGTGAACGAACTCTCCTGCAACTTGGAAGGTTCTGAGTTATATGATAACATAGGGGAGGGGAAGGTGAGCGCAACCAAGACAAGCACGAGCTGAAAGTCTCAGCTGTGAAAGACGTTGTCGGATGTACATGCATGTCGGTGACGATACTGACAAGATCCTTGGACAAGACGTGCTAGAGCTCGTAGTCAGTTAGTTGTAGAACATCAGTGCCGTCGGTTAGTGTCGTGCAATGTTATCGCATGAGCAGATAGTTTAGTAACTGGTGGTGTTGGTGGACATTACACTGTAACGTTAGATCGTAACTTGTAGTTCCTTGGTATATTTCCATTTCTTTAAATTTATCCTTGACTCTCTATCTGAGTCCATAAATAGGGTCGACGTCTGTATTACGGAACAAGAATGGGTTGGGTGCGGCTTATACTCCTGAAAATGTGCTAAGCTAGCAGCAGTTGGCGCTGTGTAAGATAGGGGCACCGTATGTCAGTTCTGAATGCTGTGTGTTTCCTGCTCTAGTAGTTTTACTCCTTAGCAGCGCCTTTCAATTTTGGATTGACTAATACCGCCATAGTCGCCTTCTAAGTTCCAACCTTAACCTAGGTTGTGAAAACCTACAAATATCCGCAACACTCATTGCAATCGAAAAGCAATAAAGAGGATAACCTTGTTCCGTTGTAAACTTGTATTGTTTTTGGTTGGTTCTTTTCAAACAGAAATAATCTGTCCCCAGCCAACAATTGATCCAGACTACGGCAGCGTCTCCATTTCATTGAACACCTATCGTTCAGTTCGCCAGTACTCCTGTGGGGCTGGATATTTGCTGAATGGCAGTACGGACACCGTTTGCATGGCCAACGCTCAATGGTCTGGAAGTACACCCACATGCCAAGGTAAGACGATCCGCCAAACATATCATACATATACATCCATGAAGTGAAAGCACTAGCACTTTACTTGTTTCAACTTGGATGGAGAGCCAAGGATTATTCAAAAAAAGTAAAAAAGGATCAAGATCCAAGATGTCCTACAGCTGTTAGCCAGGTAGTTGTAGAACGTCAGTACCGTCGGTCAGTGTCGTGCAATGTTATCGCATGACCTGATTGTTTAGTAACTGGTGGTGTTAGCGGACATTATACTGTAACTTGTAGTTCCTTGCTCCTTTTTACTTTTTAAAGGCTTTACTTGTTACCGTATTTTTCCTGTTGTAAGTCGACCTTTTACGACTAAAATTAGAAGGAGAAAGGGTGGGGTCGACTTACAACCGGGATTCGACTTATAACCGGGAACTATCAGTATCTTGCAAAAACATGACCTGCACTGCATGTACAAGTGCACCGTGTGTAAACATTTGTGCAAGTTTATTGGCCTTTTTTTTTCAAGGATTGGGACGTTATACCCTCCAGTAAGGAATGTTTACATGATTTGTTGATGTGTTAGTAGCAGGGAATCGTTAATAGTGCTGCATTGGCAGGAAACTTTAAAGAGCAGAATTGAGACCTCCGGATACGGGGTTGACCTATAACCGGGGGTCGACTTACAACTGGTAAAATGCAGTATGACAACGAATGGACAGGGAAGTGTTAGTTATATCTTGTAACTTATTGCTCCTTTCTCTTTACATTAATTGTTTTTACTATTGGCTCAAAATCGGAGTTGTATTTGATTCATCTGTGTAATTGTGATTCCTAAAGCATTTTAGTCTTTTGTGACACAACCCACAGGGGTTCTGAGTATTTTCTGTTTAGGTTCGACAAAGTCTGGAAGCGAGCCAATCATATCATCAAGTTCAATATCAGGCCGACAATGTTGTTGGTCTACATCAGATTTTTCTGTACATGCATGTGTGCCTTAATTTGTGTTTCGTGTGTGTATGCGTGTGTTTCTGTCTTTCATGCGTGTGTGTGTGTGTGTGTGTGTGTGTGTGTGTGTGTGTGTGTGTGTGTGTGTGTGTGTGTGTGTGCCTGTCTTTGTGTTTGCATTCACATTGTGTTGCCATATGCCGTTGTGTTATGTACGCCCACGGCTATGCCGGTATGATATTTGATGGCTCAGAGTTGCCCAGATGCAAGATTCCACATGTCAGCAATGCTGTCGTGTCAGATGGCACAAATTGGGAGAACAGCGTCCGCAACATCTCATGTAATGAAGGGTTTGAGTTGGCAGGCAACTCGGTAGTTGTCTGCCTAGCAAGTGGGTTCTGGTCTAGCATACCCATTTGCAACCGTAAGTACCTAATCAGTTCATGATACAGGTCCTCCCTTGTTAGTAGATGATCTCTGGGCCAGCGAAAAATTCATCTTATAACGAGACTAATCTTGTAGCAGGACTTGCAGCCAAAGGCCCTACTTCGTACTTACCGGGACTACCCTCGATACAACATAAATTATCGATGCTTCAACTCGTTATAAGATAATTGAAAGTCTCCAACATAACTCTTCCTTGGATGCAAAGGATCGTCCATATCCACGAATACATAGACATAATACGTTTCCTCTTTCTGCTTTATCCTACGTGTTTTGGCCTTGGTCCTGCATGGTCAATATTATCTTATACTGAGGGTTTGACACTCCAGGGACCTGGGCAAAGGGTCGTTATAACGTATTTTATGTACTAATGGATTATGTTGTAACCGGACCTGTAAACAGTTGTATAGACCACGTTTTGCCAGGGATTTCAGATTTCTATTTACTAACGGGGTTGATGTACTAACCGGACTCGTTACAATGAGGGAGGACCTGTATAAGAAAGATACAATTTGTTATACTCTGCACCACAATCATCAGGACTCAATTAGTCGATTTTTGCTATTTTGTCGCTAACCTGATCACTTAGTTCCTTATTCACCCATACTGTTCGGTTCTATTTGCTTGTAACTCACTTGAAGAGATTGCACGAAATATTGTTTTTGAAAATGTTATTGAGTCCTGATGATGGTGGCAAAGAGCATTACATTTGTATTTTTTGGACACAGCAATCAGTACAGGAATGGGTTTGCTCCCACACTGGAGCTCGCGCTATTCCGCCGACGACTTGACCCTTGACTGACTCACGATGCCATCTAGACAACACGAGAAGTCCATCGAACCTTCGACTCGGCAAACCTGCAAGAAAGCACCGCTCCCTGCTCAATACACAGTGTTTCGGGGAATTCATCCCTCATCAGTTGAGCTTGAGTAGGCTGAGGAAGATTGTGTCTGAAGAGCACCACATATAATTATAGTGCTGTCCACGCACAAACAACACCAGGGATACAAACTTACAGAGACACTCCTTTTCCAGCGCTGCAAACACCTCGTGAACACCAGACAGCAGCGTGAGTCAGTTATCGGTCCTGGACGGTGAGAACAGACGTAGAGGACCCACGGTCATTCACAACGCTGTCACCTCCAAACCAGCTAGTCGCACGCCCGCGCCGGGCACAACAGTATGAAGTAGAGGTACTCAAGCTCAACTGATGAGGGGTGAATTCCCCGAAACACTGTGTATTGAGCAGGGAGTGGTGCTTTCTTGCAGGTTTGCCGACTCGAAGGTTCGATGGACTTCTCGTGTTCTCTGGATGGCAGTCGTGAGTCAGTCAAGTGTTAAGTCGTCGGCGGAATAGCGCGAGCTCCAGTGTGGGAGCAAACCCATTCATTAAAAAATCATTGCCGAAGTCGCAACCCCTATTTCGCAATCAGTACTTTGCAAAATTGTGATGATTCCGGATAGAGAACAAAATGATGGCCAATATTTTACCCAGTTCAGAATTCATTAGCCGGGATAGCAGCAACCAGCCATCCAGGTTCATCCAATTTGGGCAGTATGATTCTCTGGTTTCTGCACACTAGGATGAAATGCTCACCCAGATAACACATACCGTCGAAATTAACCTACGGGATAATGTCTTAGAACACCGAAGATTGTTTCTCATACACCCAGGTCGTCAAGATTCTTGAACAACTTGAATTCTCCCGCCACTCTACTATGTGATGGCACGGTATACTCGTGGCTGCTGTTATGGTGCAGGAACGCCACACTACCTGTATGAACTCGAAGGATCCGGGTGATTGCAAAAAGCATGAAACTCAGAGCAGTGGGAAAATAGCCCTGATTGCCCTTTTTGTTCTTTGTGATGTTGAAAGTAGACAAAAAGTAGTCATTTGCTGTACACAGTATCAATTCTGCAGTCATGACTCGAAATTGTTGTGCTATCAGCGCTGACATACACACGTCTTCCTTCTACCTTGTTTGTTCAGGAATTGTGGTGTGCAAAGACCCGCTGGTCGCCAATGGAAACGTGTCGCAAGGACAGAACAACGTTGGCAGCTCAAGAAGAGTGATGTGCAATGCTCCCTTTGAGTTACAAAGTGATAAGACGATCGTGTGCACGTCCGATGGCACTTGGTCAAGCAATCCTATGTGTAATGGTGAGTGTGAGAGCCTGAATTTGAGAGAATAGTTGGGAAGATCCTCCAAAACTGTTCGAACCGATATTTATTCGGTTTTTCAAAGAAATCAGTGATGGGAGTTCAAACGACGATATCCAGATTTCCCACATCACCTAAGGGTTTTTTGGCTGTTTGGATCCATTCTCGATCATTTGTTACTCTTGTTTTGTCATTGCCGCTATTATTTTCTTACACGTTTTCTTGTCCTTGTTTTTCTGTTATGCCCTGAACAGCGACAGTAGCTACATCAGCGCCATCGTTTTTCAGCCAGAGTGCCAGTATACCTTTGATAACCCTCATCGGTGGCCTGGGCGTCCTGTTTGCCATCGCAGTTACCACAACCATCCTGAAGCGTAGACGCTCGTCTGCTGTGGCTATCACCTTAGATCACAAGCACGCTGGCAAGCGCGCTGGCAAGAAAACCCGAAGCATGTCTCATTCGGATTTGTTCAAGCGAGCTACTTCACTGGACTTATACGGCCAGCAAGGGCGCAAGTCAAGCTCTGCACCGATTGATGCTAACAAAGACGAGTATTCAACTCCGATAGACGGCCATGCGATCGATACCTTCAAGGGCAATGGTAATGCACCTTCAGAACTCACGTCTAAAGCATCCTGCTCCCCTCCGGCAGAGGAATATGACCTGTACGCCAGTTTGAGCAAAGGGCCCACTCCAGTACCCGAGATCAACACGGAAGCCAGCTACTCGTGCACAGTAGGTGACTTACAGGGACAAGATGAGTACTCTGCCCCGATAGATGGCAATGCCCCGGAAAAACACACTTCGAAAGCAAGTTCCTCCCAACCGCCGGAGGAATATGACCTGTACGCCAGTCTTAGCAAAGGGCCCACTCCAGGGCCTGAGAATGACACGGATGCCAACTACTCATGTGCAGCAGGTGGCCTACAGGGACATGCCACTAGTCTCACTTTGCCAACCTTCCTTAGGCCCTCTACTTCCCCTGATCTGTATGAAACTCTCACACGAGATGAGAGCCCAGCGCCTGACAGCGATATGTATAGCACATATTCAGTGTCATCCGGTATGGTGATATCGGCCGGACCCAAGCGCACTGATGACGCATCCACGGAAGCCAAAATCCAACCTTCACCCCAGCCAACAAAAGAGATGGAATTGTACGCTACTCCGAGAAAGGAGCACAGCCTAATGCCTGAGAACGAAGGTAACAAGGATATATGCTCATCTCCTTTATACGCTCGTGCAGGCAGTGAGGCCAGGGGGCCTCGCCCGGAATCCTCGGATTACATTGGCCCGGTCTCGCCCAACCCAAATCTCGACTTGTACGCAACTCCCAACAAAGAACAGAGCCGTGTGGTTGGGGGCAGTCAGAACACCATCTACTCGTCTCCCATGCCGGTGACGGCGGATAATGCTCACACAAGCAGTGACGGTGTACACACTGGACCCACTGGTTAACTTTCATACTTTGATACCTCTGATATTTTTGTGCAACTTGAAACTTTGGAAATCTTGAATGCTTGATCGACATGTATATTTAGGTGGAGTAGGATGGGATTTTGCAGTAATAAGCAACAGTTTTTCAGTTAAAATAGAGACAATCAAAAGACCGATTGTTTTAGCAGTGAAGCTAAACCATGTGTATTATATATTCTATTTTTGCAATGCTATTGGTTTGATGCCTTCTATTCAGGTGTTTCCACCCTTATGACATAAGAGTGAGAAAACCCTATATTATCGAGTATTTTCCTAAACGATTACCCATACTTAGAACCCCACCAAAGAGGACGGATAGGTTCAAGCCTGTTTCATTATTATCGTGATTTCAACCCATTTTGAGCCATCTTCAATAGACATAGGTACATTAGTTTCTCTCCTCGCGCTGTTATCGCTATTATTCTGCATGTGCCATTGTGACAATGGTTAAGAATGAAGTTGACAGAGGTCAACCTATGATTGAAACACGTTTTTGTGTTCAGGCCACGTAAAAAAACACTGTTTCACCAATGCGTGTGTCGATAGCTATGATTACAGCGCACTGAGGACTTCACATTGGCCCCAAAATTACAATGATTCGATGGAGCGGCGTCTCTCAATTTGCTATGTGGCCGGCTGATTCTATGCAGAGGTCAAGCTCCCTTCCCACCTTGTCACTTGGAGCCCTTCGAACCTTTCTCTGGGAAACCTTCAAACTGCAACACCTCCCTACTTCATATTCTTCTATATTCGAGGCCAGTCACCTCTCGTCAGCACATTGTGAGCTAATGAGAATACAAATGAATATTTGCTCCTTGGTCACTTCATTTACACATGCTATTAAAGCCTTTTAGGCATCACAAGGGATACAAGCTACAGTTGTGCCACGTGTCAAGCATGACAAACACTTCATAAGCCAATGTCCGCAATTTTTAATAGTAAATGACTAAATGCTCATAAAATGTCTTCTGGACATGGGTTCTTTGAGAAACAAATGTTGTGAACCCTGTTTACAGAGAAAGTGACATGTAGTAAGGAGTACAGGCTCGCAAGTTCAAAGCACATGCCACCATGATAGGACAACATAAAGCCCAGACCAATAGTATTCAACAACACCCGGGAAAGAGTATGTAATCTTAGGGCCCAGCCATGCAAAGGGGATGGGCTCATATCCCAAAAAGCACTGTGGGCGAGAGGAAAGGGATAAGAATGGATATAAATCTGACGAAAATCAACACTTGAACAGGCGGCGAGGTGACAACAATTTTAAGATGGCAAAGAACGGAGTCAGCTGAAGCGACATGTTACGACGGTTTTATTGGAATGTAAAGTGATGATGGACAACGAAATAGCTGTGATAGAACTGTAATGTAAACAATCGACGGGGAGACAGTAGTCGTAAAATGGCAATATATAAGATAAATTGTGCACTCATAACAACAGCAAAAATACGAAAGTCAAGTTCCATGATGTTTTCTTGTGACTGTCATCAGTGAAACGCCGTCACATAAAAATATAATAACTGAAACACACACTTATATACATTCAAGTAATACACACGCACTATTACATTCATTCACACAGTATCACATTCATCTGCCACTACCTTTCTCACATACACTATATTCACACATTGCAAAGGTGCAAACTTCGCTTTTTGTACTTGTTAGCTGCTGTATTTCTACCTGAAACCATATTAGCTACATGTATATAAGTGTGTGTTTTAGTTATTACATTTTTATGTGACAGCGTTCCACTGATGACAGTCACAAGAAAACGTTATGGAACTTGACTTTGAAACTCGGATGTTGAGCCATAAATAAATGTGGAAAGGAAAAGGACACATGTATACGAGTTAGGAGTAACTCTCCATCACCGTAACTGGATACTACATACAGTCAGAAAATGCAATAACTAGGCACAAAACTGACAAGTTGGAAGGCTGTCGGTTAGCGCTACGGAGATGTGTTGAAGCTAGGTGTCAGGACGTCGAATGTCTCAGTACTCTTGTCAGTTTTGTGCACTTTCTGACTGTATATTATAGTATCCAGTTACAGTGATGGAGAGTTACTCCTAACTCGTATCCATATGCCCTTTTCCTTTCCGAACTTGACTTTCTTCATTTTTGCTGTTGAACTGTAATGTGAAAAACATTAATAGGAACGATGAAAAAGATATGTGAACATGCATCGAACTAGCTTTCGCACAATGCTCATCAGGAAGCATCGTTGTACTAATTAACAAAATTATAGTTCCATCACAGTTACTTCGTTTTCCATCACCACTTTACATTTCAATAAAACCTTCGTAACATGTCGCTTCAGCTGATTCCGTTCATTGCCATCTTAAAATCAACACTCGTAACCATAAATGAAAGGGTGAACACAAGCAAATGAATGGAAGGGAACTGATCAACGCACATTGACCTGTCACTGAGTTTTGTTCGTAAAGGAGGTTTCTACTCGGAAAAGCTAATTTTAGGAAAGAGCTCCTGTCAGCTTTTCCATTATTTAGTTTACGTTTTGGCATCCCACCTCAAGTCAGCACACCTTTCGTAAACGAACGACTCAACATATGCAATTATATAGAAGGGAAGTGGACAACCTACCTGTCGTTGAGCAATAACAAGGTCTCAGAAAGGTCTCAGCAGCACTAAGCCGAAATACGCCAGGAGACGAAATATCCGAAAGGGCGCTTTCAAGAATCAGTTCCAAAGAAGGAAGTTCCTCGTGCATCCACATCCGCATCCATCAACAAAAGGACTGCATTGGAAAGGCTTCCTGTCTGAAGCCTTTCCATACTGGTACTCGATGTTCCAGTTTTGTGACACGAGAATGGCACGAGAATTAGTGTACCGCTGAGTGTACCGCTATACACTTGGTTGACACTTTGTCGACACATTGTTGATACTTTGTTGACACGTGACCCCGTCAGCGATCTGCTTTGTGCCAATACAGAAGTCGACGAAGACGAACGAGGAGGCGCCTTTCGGTACCCCTGACGGGAAGGAGAACTGCAGACGTCGAACGAGGAGGCCCCTTTCCGTACCCCGTACCGCAAAGTGCCATTGATGAATGTCTTCTGCACCTGGAACGCCCCGTAAACGCTGTCGCATAGGCGGACTGAATGCACAGGGCAAAAAGAATTGCTGCAAAGACGTCCGCTCTAGGCCTTTGGAGACATCGTGGGAACTCCTTCCGGCACCCCCGTACCGCAAAGTGCCATTGATGATCGATGAATGTCTTCTGCAAGTTGAACGACCCCGTAAACGCTGTCGCGTCGGCGGGCTGAATGCGCAGGACGAAAAATATTGCTGCAGAGACGTCCGTTCTAGGCCTTTGGAGACATGGTGCGAACTCCTTCCGGTACCCCCGTACCGCAAAGTGCCATTGATGAATGTCTTCTGCAACTGGATCATGGAACGGCCCCGTAAACGCTGTCCCGTCCACCGACGAAAACTATTGCTGCAAAGACGTCCGCTCGCGCTCTAGGCCTTTGGAGGCATCGTGCGAACTCCTTCCGGTACCCCCGTCCCGAAAAGTGCCATTGAGAAATTAATGAGAATGCACTGACCTGACGCCGTGACGGGGAGGAGAACGGCAGAAGTGGACGCAGGTGAACGAGGAGGAATCTGGACGAGCGAGCAATGGCAGGACTGTAAGTAATAGCTCAATTAGAAATGAGAACTTGACATTCATGGCACTTGCCACTGCATATTTCTTGTCCACTCACAATGTCTTTCCTCTGCCCCTGTGTGCCCACGGACCTGTTGCTGCACTGGCCCGATGAATCGATTGTCTTCTGCAACTGGAACGGGCCCGTAAACTCTGTCGCGTCGGCGGACTGAATGCGCAGGACGAAAAACATTGCTGCGAAGACGTCCCCTCTAGGCGACGGTAAGGCATCCCTTGATATGTTGCCAGTGTGTGCCAGGGTATCGCGAGATGGTGAATGAGGAATGATGAAGGGTACGGTTAGGTGGGACGGTATACCTGTTATCATTCAACACGTTATCAGGTCGACAGCGCATTGTACTAACTCTATTCTTGTAGTTCGTTACGTTTAAGGTGTATGTGTATATCTTGCCAATAGTTAATGGTGTACAGTCGCACGCTACAGACGCCATGTTCATTTACAGGGTTTGCAAACTGTACGTGAAGAAAGACAGCATGCCGCCATCTTGCGTTCTCAATGACTTGAACCTTCACCCTGTACCCCAGTGCTTGTCGCGACTAAACTCATTCGAAAAATTACTCATTCAAAAAGTGGAACCCTTCCAGATATGTTACAAGCTAGACACAAAGCATGGCAGTCGACCGCATTCAAAGCGAGTGAGGTGCCAAGAACAAAATACTCCACCTTCCATTGCCAATTGACGGCAACCCGCGTCTCATGCATGACTTGTGTGCTGACAATACAAACATCATAGTGAACTGTGTACCAACCAGTGCGAAGATTGTCTGGAAGCACCTTGTCAGGCCGAAGGTTGTCGTCGCAGCCTTGCAGTGGTTAGCTGAGGAGACGAGACGAAAGATTCATGAATTGCTTGCACATTTGTACCAGTTGTACCGGCTATGCGAGTGCCATGGTAACAAACGCATTCCTATTGAGCTTTGAGACACATGTCAGGAGGGCGTTGTTGCATCACTGACCTCTTGCAGTCATTCCGTGAATGATATTTTGCGCGAGTTTGCATCGCACGCAGCGTCGCAGATCGTGTCAAATTACGCATCACACTGCAAAATTGCTCCTCATGCAAGTGGATTTCATTGCACTTCTCAGTTTGGGAAATGCTCAAATATGATAATTCTGCGTGTGAGTGCACTAGCCCTGAACATACAATCATCAGTCATGTAGGTGACCCGTTTGTGCGGGTGTCTCATAGCCTACCTCACGACCTTCTGCTTTCTTTCTGCATCACTTGTATCTTGCAGGTATATCACCCTGTGACGACCACATTGAAGTCTGAATTTGAAGTGTGAAGATGCTTCAGCAACCACACCATACTTTTCCATTGCTTTCATTGTGCTTCTACTGTGCATGTGTGTAAGTTGTGGGGTATACTTGTGATGACATTGTGTGCTGGCGACACGGT